GCTTACTGTTGTGTATTAAAATTACGTTTTTTAGATCAGGAAACGGAAATCATGCCAACGAGCCAGTGCATTTATATACCAACTAACACCGTTATTAAAACATCCAAACATAAGTATGAGTCCAAAGAAACATATTCTTCTTCTTCTTCAGCATTCCGAGCCCTTGAGGTTCATTGCTGCAGATACCACCCTCCTCCATTCATCTCTCTGGTTGGCCTTCTCTTTTCAGTTGGTAACCCTAAGTGTTTGCAGGTCTGTCTGGATGTTATCTCTCCATCGTCTTCTTGGTCTCCCTCGTGGTCTACGACAATTCATCTCCCTGGTGTATACAGTTTTTACTTCTCTGTCATCTGACATTCTTAACCATACTAATACTATGCTACCAATGCCACACTTGGACATTATCAAAGACCAGCCTAGGTAAAATTAACATGTGTGAAATGAGATACCTGAGAAAAGCCGCCAACTTGACCGTCCGAGACAAAGAAATTATACTATAAGACAGACTCTCGGAACAACACCAGGCAGCAAATTCATTGAAGATCAATTGTTTTGGTCATTTAGTTAGAATGCAGACAGAACAGCTACCAGCGCAGGCATTACACGTGAAAAGATCTGAAGTGAAAACAAGAGGCCGCCCTAGGAGACACGGAACGGCAGAAGGCATTGCTGCCCGTCAAACAAGGGATTGCAAACTATTCCACCCCACAATGCCTAACGGCAGAAGTGGAAATTGATAATAATGATGATGATTTATTGATGTTTTCATTGCAAGTTCTTCTTTGATCCCCCCGTCCCCCTTTCCTCTTCTTCTTAGACCTCCCCCCTCCCCCACCTCTCGTGTTCCTTAAATTACAGTTTTAAAAATTATGACACTTGCTGAAACCGTATACAAAGAAAATTGGCGGACCGTCGCGCAAGAGTTAAGCAACAGTAAGGAGAACAAATGAGTAGATAAATTAAGAGAGTAACAAAAATAAGTTTTGCAGAGTATACGTCCAAGAAGACTAACAGAAATTGTTGGAGATCCGTGTAAACAAACCACCACAGATGAAACGGCAACAGTTTTTTTTCCAAGCCTTAGATGGGTACCGGGAGTGGCTGTGGCGTTGCGGCTAGACGCTGGCGTGCGGATCGGAAGGTCGTGGGTTCGCTCCCTGGCGGAGCCGGACTTTTTTCAAAAATGATCTTTTTTTCGAGGTCGACCCAGCCTTGAGTGGGTACGGCGGCAACCCAGGGAAGTAAAGGCGACCGGCGTGATGCTGACCACATCACCCATCATTGGTCTATAAAGTCTTGCCATATACGCCCTATACGCCTAAAGGCGGGGAAAATAGACCATTACTTTTTTCTTAGATGGGTACCAGGTAAATTCCTTGGAAGTAAAGGCGGTCTAGCCAGACTAAAGTATTTATGGATGGAGCAGAATATCAGATTCTGAAACTACAAACTGGAAATGCAGACTTCTACCTGATCAATTATTACTGCCCAAATGATCGTCCCCAGGCTTTAGACACAATCTCAGTGGAAGAAAAGATGATTCTATGTGGAGACTTTAACAGCCACTCACAAAGCTGGGGATATGACCATATAGACCAGAGAGGAGAGAAACTGGAGGAGTGGCAGGATGAGAACAGATTTGTTCTTATTAATAGGCCAACTGATCCACCCACATTCTACTCGAGGTCGTGGCACACCACTACTACCCCAGACCTAGCATTTCACTCTCCAGATCTGGAATGGAACATTAAACGAGTTGTTGGAAATCAACTGGGAGGCAGTGACCATCGACCGGTCTTCCTGAATGTAGAAAATGAGAAGGTCAGAGAAACTAGTACGCTGCCAAGGTGGAACTACAAGAAGGCTGACTGGACAGTTCAAACACCGTACCAGTATACTGCTTGGAAATCTCAGCGTAGACCAGGATATAAACAAAGTAGTTAAAGAATTTAACAGCAAATGCGTACTAAAGGCAGCAGGAGAATCAATACCAAGAGGTGCCCGTAAGCATTATAAGCCATACTGGAGTAATGAGCTAGAAAATTTACATAACGAAGTAGAAACATCCAGAAAGATAGCAGAGACCAGGCCAAACCAAGAACATCGCAACAACTACCAGCATGCAAAGCAAAATTTGTAAGGGCAAAGCTGCAGGTTAGAAGGGAAAGCTGGCAGGAGAAAACAAGGTCGCTGAACTTTGAAAAAGACACAAGAAAGTTATGGAAGCTTGTGAAACAAATTAATGATGAAGACACAGGGTGGAACTCAAAGATCACGCTGCAGAAAGATGGAAACATGGTCACAGGAAAAGAGGCAGCCAACCTATTTGCGGACACTTTTGCTTTAGATAACGACATTGAAATCAGTTCAGAGAAAAACACGAAATTCAAGAAAAGACACAATTTAGAAGTCAGAAAGAAATAACATCAGAGGCGCTAGAGGTGCCAATTACACTTAATGAACTGGAGTTGGCCATTTCAAAGCTGAAAATGCGGAAGTCACCAGGAGCAGATGGTATATCAAACGAAATGATCAGAAACTTAGGAAAAGTAGCCAAAACAAAGCTTTTACAGATATTTAATGCTTGCTGGGCAACAGGGAATGTTCCACAAATCTGGAGAGAGGCAATTATGATACCTCTCATAAAGCCTGGGAAAGACAGTTCTAATGCCTCCAACTACAGACCAATCAGCCTCACAAGTTGTCTCTGTAAAACAATGGAGCGCATCACCAACCTCAGACTACAGTGGTACATTGAAAGTGAAAACATCATTACACCACAGCAGGTGGGCTTTAGAAAGTTCTATTCTACGGAAGACCAGACAACATACCTCTCCCAAGAAATAGAGGATGCTTTTCAAGATAAGAAACTGGTACTCGCGGCATGGATAGATTTAAGGAAAGCTTTTGATAAGGTTTGGAAGGAGGGGCTTTTGAAGAAATTGAGAAACTATAAAATAAATGGAAAAATGTACAATTGGATTAAAGCATATCTACATAACAGAAGAGCCCGGGTGCAGGTAGATGGTTTTAAAAGTAAAAAAGTTCTACTGCGACAAGGCGTCCCTCAAGGTGGTGTCCTGTCGCCCACACTTTTCCTTTTATTTATCAACGATCTGGTTGCTGAGATACCAAATGGAATCAAAATGGCAATGTACGCCGACGACCTGGTACTGTGGTGCACCAATGAACATGCAACGATAGCCACAAAAACACTACAGCGGGCTACAAATGCACTTGAGGCATGGGCCAATAGATGGTGTGTCAGCATCAACACAGACAAATGTAGCACCACACTATTCACCCTCTCACCAAAGCAAAAAGCCGGCACCATCAAAATAAACGAAATACCCCTGAGAGATGATAAAGAGCCCACATACCTAGGAGTCACATTTGATGACAGGTTGACATGGAGAAAACATATCAACAAGGCAGCAACCAAAGCCAGGAGGAAGACAGCAATACTAAGAAAACTAAGTGGAACCACATGGGGAGCAGATGGGAAAATACTCAATAAAGTATACAAGCAGAGCATACTTCCACACTTGGAATATGGGTCAACTGCATGGTGTTCAGCATCTAGTACCACATTAAAGCAGTTAGACAAAGTGCAAAATCAAGCGCTCAGAGTCATCACAGGAGGGATGAAATCAACCCCCATATTAGAAATGGAGAAAGCTGGGAAAACACAGGCACTGAGAGAACGCAGAGATACAAAGTTGCAAATACAAGCTGAAAAGTTCCTCAGTATGCCAGATCACCCGATGGAAAATAGATTTAAGAACCTAGCCTTGGGACGGTTAAAAAGAAGCAGCTTTATACACCAAGCAAAAAGAATATGTAGACAAACTCCTGACCTTCCAGAAATTGGCTGCCCACTAAAAAGTATTTTGGAACAAACCCCATGGAGAGAAAAATATAAACTAACGGTACAAATCCAGACAAATGTGATAGGGATATTTGACAAGAAAGAGCAAGATAGTGTACAACGCAAAATGGCCACCCTCAGTTATATTGATGAAGAATACCCACAAGAACAATGGGTCAGAGTCTATACAGATGGGTCCGCAGAAAGTGCAGTTAGAAATGGTGGTGCTGGAGTGTACATCGAATTCCCAGATGGTACTAGGGATAAGTCCAGCGTACCAACCGGGAAGTACTGCCATAACTACGATGCAGAAACCCAGGCTATTAAGATAGCTACAGAGAAACTGCTAAATACCAACCTTGGCTCACAGTATGTGGTAATGCTTACAGATGCTAAATCAGTACTTGAAGCACTCCAGTCTAGGAAACTACCAGAATTGCAAACACTGCTGACACAACTCAGCGTTCAGCGAAGAGTCGTAATGCAGTGGATACCGTCTCATTATGGAGTGCCTGGAAATGAGAAAGCTGATCAACTGGCAGGGGAAGGTGCGAAAAAAGAGCAGCCAGATGTACCAGTCACATACCACCAAAAGAAAAGAATCATTAAATCGATCAGGAAACCACCAGCCCCAGCACAAGACGACTATTTTATTATGGACAGACCAGAACAAGTCATTATCTTCCGCCTCAGAACAGGGTACAACCGATTACGTAACCACATGTACACAAAATTCAAGATAGGTATATCAGCCATGTGCACCTGTGGAAATGTGCCCCAGACCGCAGAGCATGTACTCCAGGACTGCACCGAATTTGACACATTAAGGCAAACCTTTTGGCCAGAAAGAACAACAGTGGAACGTAAACTCTATGGACCACTGAATGAACTAACAACGACAGTGAAATTTATACAAGAGACAAAACTGCTGATATAGATAACTTATTTCAGGCGAACGAAAGAAGAAGAAGAAGAAAGAAGGCGGTCTATAAAAGTAGGCGTGTGTAAAGGGGCCGTTACTTGTTTCGAAAGGAAGTACTAGCAGTTATCATTCCGTGTGGAAATAGAATGGCTTCACGTGTTTCAATCGCCTCAACTGTTCGTTAAGAGGGATTTTTTTTTTCTTTTTCAGTATTAAAGATCAAGGACACATTCTCAGATCCAAAAGTCATGGCAGGTCAGAGTTCACTACCTTGTGATGTGGTTCAGGGACTCAAGCCAAAAAAGAGAAGAAATAGCGGAAGTGATGTTGAAAATAACGAAGGTAGCCATGAAGATCTGGAGGGATTCCGTGTTAGATTCTGGTCTGTCAGGCAGGTTCGTCATTTGTTTGTTGTTATGTCTCGAAAATAGCTAAAAAAAAAAAAAAAAAAAGCTCGTTGCATGCTTATGCCACTGATGCAGAAAGAGTAACGTGTGAAAGCTTTAGTTACTAGTATTACAATGCTATCTGCGCACGCATAATCTCAACAACGACGTGGCAAGGAGCACAATATCACGTTCTCCAGTGTTATCGTTACCTGCTAACGCTTACACATGCGGAGTGATCACGCCTCGCCACTGAATAGAAGTAACAAAAACATATATCTTAATCGAGGGGAGTCCGGAAATGTGCCTGGAATGGGGAGCATAGGGCACACGAAAAGTTCCCATTTAAAAGCACGGGTAGGCCTGTGCTTCGTGACCAAAAATGTGCACACTGGTTTTCTAGCTAATGTGTGTATGAAGAGGACAGTTACAAAACAAAGACGTAGGTTATCAAATAACAGAGAAGGACACAAGAATAGAGATAGATGATGCCTTGGCAATACCTTGGTAAACTGATTATACTTTACTTCTGGAAGAGATATTGGCTTTCACTTCCAGTTGATCTTACGAGAGAGAGAGAGAGAGAGAGAGAGAGAGAGAGAGAGAGAGACCGCGCGAGCGAGAGAGAGAGAGAGAGAGAGAGAGAGAGAGAGAGAGAGAGACCGCGCGAGAGAGAGAGAGAGAGAGAAGCAAAGTTTATCGGCCATATCAGTTGACATAAACTTTTACAAACATTGTACTGGAGTGAAAACTCGAAGGAAAGCGCGTAATATTCAGATAGCTATGTGGAACGGATGCGCTTCTATGACGAAAGATCTGATGTATTTACTATCTGTTGTAATCAACTGTCACTCTAGAGACGACACTTGATTGATTGGTTTACCACAGAGATATTAGAATAGACCTCTGACCTTTCAGAACGTGCACGAATGTTTTGTCTATGTCATGCAAGGATGCGTGTAAATGAGAAAGCTGCTTCCGCGGTTTAAAACCACAGATCGATGTCGCGGCACACTGGAGAAGGGGAAAACTATGGCGGGAAAGAAATGATAAGATGGTTCATAGGCACATTAGATTTGATTAGTATTCTTGATTAAGGCTGCTAGAGTGGGATTGTTTAATGGATTTTCTTGATTATTCTTATTGGAATAGGACTGGTTGGCGGATTGTCTTGATTACGTCTTTTGGAATAGGGAGTAAGTAAGGAATACATATTTTTGTGTGTATGTGTGTGTATGTGTGTGTATGTGTGTGTATGTGTGTGTGTGTGTAAAATTGCATCTTACCAACACGACGAACAACAATTTCATTGAATCTCTCTTCTCCAGAAAAAATCCAAGCGATGTTTTCTTAGAGTTTCAGCTTCCCTGGCCAGTCTCATTTCAAAGAGCAAACGTAAAAGTGTAAGCATGCGTTTTGTTTCGCGCCATTCCTGATTGGCATCTTCCGTTCTGGCTAATTTTACGTAAAGTCCAATACTTTCTTCAGCGTTGATTTCTTTTACTCCTGGACTGTTTTTCTTAACTTCCGTATTCTCATTTCTTCTGTCTTAGACATGCAACAACAGATGATGTCGAAAGTAATAGAATTAACATAGAAATATGACCAAAAATATTTTCAACAACATGCAACAATTTTTAATGTCTAGAGAAATTAAACACACGCATACACGCACATACACACACACACACACACACACACACACACACACACTGAAAATGGTGCAGAAACACCAACAGTTAGCAAGAAATTGAAAAAGCTGAATTGAGACTGGAGATGCTGATATAGAGAGGAATACGTGATGTTTCCTAGAAACGAAAGAAATCAGTCACATTGGTTTTGTTAAGACTGGCAATGGTGAGAGAGTATGAAGTAAAAATAAAAAAAAGGAGACAGGTGAAATATTTTGACCACAATAAAACCACACTGGAGGGAAACGTTGAAGGCAAGCAAACAAGTAGCAACAAGGATATACAAATACAATGAAAACATTAAGAGATAAAAGATCAACCTCCTCATCTCTGCACCCTTTTGCTTATTTGTGTTAATTTTCAACGCTCTAGTCCTGCTTTCTTTCTTCTTTGCCGTGTTGTTGTTGTTCGTCTTTTTATTCTTATTCTACTACTGCTACTGCTGCTTCTCTCCCTTGCCAGTCCTTTAAACACAGAACCACCACTTCTAATTTCCACCATTCTGTTTGTTCTTCTTGTATTTCAACCTAATTTTTGCCAGCATGTAACTGTTACATTACACTATATTCAAACAGGCTTGCGACAGCTATAAAACATCCAGCCTATTGTTAAGTAAACCAATCTCCGAGTACGTACCCCCAAATCCCTCTCCAACGAAAAGAAGAGCCCAGCAGACGTGGGCAGACTCGTTTGTTAGTGATCAAGGGAGCTCATGTATTCCCGCTCTGTCGAGCACCGACTTCAAACGGCAGGAGGTAAGTCATTCGCAAATACCAGCTTCCAAAACATGTAAACATAGCTGTATTTAGACTATGTGCAACGTGTGCAGCTGCACAGGACAGCACAATTATGGGAACGGAAAATAATAAAAGCGGCAAAATATAATTGGTAGTTAAAATAATGTCATTATCTTTATTGCTTATATCATTATTCAGGCACTCTAGTCTAGAATATTACCAGGTATACGAACACTACTCTCCAAACTAAGCACTTGAGAAAGGTATGCAGTGGATACCAATACATTGTGGAGTTCTCGGAAATGAAAGAGCTGATAAACTAGCTAAGGAATGTGCCCATGATGAACACTCTACCAGTCTATTATCAATAGAAGAGGAGAATAATCAAACCAACCAGAAAGGCACCAAAACTGATAGAAGACGAAGACCATATTATTGACAGACCGTAGCAAGTCATTTTTCTTAGCCTTAGAACAGGGCACAATCGATCTCACATTGGCGAATCAGTCATGTTGCACACGTGAATTGGCACCTGAGACAACAGATCATGTCCTCCAAAACTGTCCCAAATACAACACATCCAGGCAAAACGTTTGGCAAAAAGAAAGAAACACCGGATGAAGCCCAACTTTGCCGTCGCTGGGTGATTTAAAAAAAACAAAACATTGCTGGCACAGATAATCTATTTGAAGCAAACAAAAGAAGCGGAAGAAGAAAGTTTCGTGTTGTACTGCGCATCATTGCTTCATTAGGACCCTAACTTACATATTTGTTTTACTTGTGTATTTAATCAAGTGTTGAATGTTCAGCTAAGAGCTAATTTCACAGCACTCGGGACATTCATATAAACGTCCCGTCCTCATCTTCAGCAGCTAGTGAAAAGTTCGTAAACGATGGTGCGTCTTGTCTTTCTTTTGAGTGTCAACGAGATCCCCTGATCGCTTTCAGCTCTTCCACCTTCTCCAGACCATAATCATCTACTCGTGCCTTCACACTGGTCCCTTGCTTCCAAAGGGCCTTGACCACACCTACCATAATCATCTACTCGTGCCTTCACACTGGTCCCTTGCTTCCAAAGGGCCTTGACCACACCTACCATGTCATGTATAAATTCACCTGGATAAAATATCAAAAGAAAGCTTTCTACTCAGGACTTCTAAACCGATGTTTGGTCTGCTGGGTTTAGTTTAAATACTTCAATACAGTTTAAGGCTAAGCTAAACAATGCCACAGCCTATTATTATAAGCATGTAATCGAATGGCGATGCTGAAGTTTAAAGGGAAAAGGGAAGATTAAAATAAATAACATTTTACATCTTAAACAATGCCGGTGGCAAGAGGTTAGAAAATAAGGATTTGGGTGGGGTGGGGGGGGGGGGGGTCTGGAAAGGTATAACGATACATGAGTGAGAAATGATTGCAGATAGGTTCAAAGCTGAGCCTTTGAGAAGGAACACGTTAAATACACGTGCTGGCAACAAAGGTTCTGAAATCCCATGCTCAAATTGTGGGCAGACTTTTCTCAAAGTGAGCGGGTTTTAACTGTTATCTCGCAGTCACCATTTGCTGTCACTCCCATGCCTACCCATAGCCCAATATAACACTATCGTCTGGAAGTACGGAAAGGTGCCAACAAAAAATTTAGAATGACTTTTGTTATTTGTGACATTTCTTCAGCATGTAATTCTATGTTTGTCAATTGTTGTCATTTATGTCATTTCTTTTATATTTCATTAAATGCATATACTAACTTTTGCTATTTAAACGTTTCTTCTGTACGTCATTCTTTATATCTGTACACTTTTGTTATCAACAATTATCTTTTGTATTTCTTTCTGTGTATTTAGGCTATATATGAGTTATATAAGGGAGAACAGGACATGGTTGAAGACTTGATTACGGTCACAAAGGTACGTTTGTTTCATTCCTGTTTTGCATTGCTAATTGATAATTGTGTTTTGACATGGCCAGACTAAATAATGCAAACTTTCAAGGGCGACTACATAGTGATAGCACTGTCGGAGCTCAGGGTGGACGCCTGCTTAACAGGAATAATAATCATTATTTGTTTTTTCAAAAAAAAAAAAAAAAAAAAAAAAAAAGAAAAGAAAAAAGGTGTTGGTGCGCACCACAAAGTGCCTAAAAATATACTCACCATAAACTGCCTATTACAGTGACCTAAAAACAAATATGATAGTACTGCATACGGTCAAAAGAATAAGAAAAATAAGCATGCTTTCTTCTTCTTTGATCCTTCTGTCAAAACACTTATATAAGGAGTCCGGTAGCGTTTATGAAAGAGTTATACATAACTTTGGTTTCAGAAAGTTTATGAAAGCTATCGTGCAGTCCATATTCTGTACCATAAGTTGTGTCTTTATTGTGTTGTGGTTGAAACAGGCCAGATTGCGTCTCTGTTGTCAGCTTATAGTTGACAGTGTTGGAGCACATGCTCGGCATTTTCTGGCTCCACGCTCTGTGTTGAAAAAAACATGATGATAATAATGTTATGTTGCGTGGCAAATAAGTATACAAATATGAAAGGTATAAACAAAGGTCAAATCAAGTGCCCTGGTGGATTAGAGAAACTAATAGCACAAGGCATGGCATCAGGAACGACAGCAGGGCCCGACCAGCACCAAAGATAAGCACATGATATATGTGACTGCTTGGATATAAAAGTGTAGGAGCGGGAGAGCTGGTGCGATGAGAGAAAAGTTGCTACATGATGATGATAAAGAAATCTTTAAAATAGAACTTCTATTCATGGTTGCAAGAATTTGAGCTTGGGGGGGGGGGGGGGGGTGGCTTGGTTCACACCTCCCCCTCCCAAATTCTATGGTTGGGGGAAGGGGCGGTAACTGACTGACTGACTTTCCACCCCACTAGGACATCACACAAGCGATAAACACCCGATGACACAAAGTGCCACTATGCGGATGAGGATCACCGTGGAGAGGTCACAGAAACCGCGTTCAGACAATTGGCCATATTTGTGGCCTGCCTATATTGCGGCCCCTGGCAAAAGCCAGAGTGGGGCTTCAAATAACAAAAAATTACGTCCTAAGAAGGACATAAGGAATTACAACGCAGGGGCGGTAACTCTAAGCATGTCGAGTGTATAGATGTTCTCTTTTTGAGTATTCCGGTACACATTTCTTACATTATTTAATAATAATTATAATAACAATAATAGTATTAAATGCGCATTTAAACAAACACCTAGAAAATTAAGGGTGGGAGGGGGTGGGAGGGGGGGGGGGGCTTGGGTTCTTTCGAAGTATTTAATTACCCATTTTGCGATACAGCTCACGTTTTCCGGCCCAGGGACACCGTGTTTGACCGTTACATGCGTCTCAAACTTTGAGACGCATTAGTGTAAGTCACAGGGGTGTCGGGTTGTCTTCTGATATGGGGGGTGGGGGGGGGCAGGGTTGGGCCAGTTCTAGATATTCTTTGAGGTCTTTAAAACCGCTGAGATCCTGTAATATAGAGAACGCGTGATCGCAGCGGTGAATACAACCTGACACCCCTGTAGGAGAAAGTCCCGCGTGTTAAAGGTTGAGACGCATCAATCAACGGTCAATCACGGTGTCACTGGGCACGAAAACGTGAGTTGTACCATAATATTAGTAAAATAATTATTATAATTATGTTATATTTACTATTGTGCAGTTAATCACGTTAGGCCGATAATTTTTGGCGGGGAGGGGGGGGGGGGTGTTGGTCAACAGGTCCAACCCCTCGGATCTCGGCGCCTAGAAAAGAGGGGATGGGTGGGGGAGGGAGGGGGAACAGCCCTTATAAACAGTGTGACTAAAGGCATTGAAATCGGACGGTTACTTGACTGACCAAGGCTGTTACATCAATGATCATAACGCCTTGTGTTTGTTTCCACAGATGTACAGAGACTCGCTGGCAACATTGCGGCTGTTGACTCCAGCTGAAGTTGCTACACTGTTTGGCAACATCGACACGTTGATTCCACTACATAAAGGTTAGGGCTCGTTAGTTGACTATTCTTACTGCTACCACCACTACTACTTCTGCTACTGCTCCTATTACTACTATGACCGGCATAACTACTACTACTAGTGTCATTACAACAATGACTTCTACTGGCGCTACAATAAAAACAACAGCTACTGCTGTTTCAGCTGATACTACTATAGTACTTCTACTGCTACTACTACTACTGCTGCTGCTACTACTACCACCACCACCACCACCACTACTACTACTAGTGGTATTTCAACAACTACTAGTATTGTTGCTGCTTCTGCTACTACAATTACTAATAATACAGTGCAGACCTGATAAGGAGAACTCACCGGGGACCCGAGGAATTGAGAAATTGTGTATTTTATCAGAAATTCCTCTTATCCAGATCTGACATCAGGTTCTGTCTTTGGATGTCCGAAAGAGAGTTCTTAAATGTTATTTAGAACGTATTTTATTGTATGGTAGTGAATCATGGAAGATGAATGCACAATAAGAAAGCACTTGGAGGCGACTGAGATGTCGATCCTCAGACGAACGTTAAGAATACCTTGGACTGCCAGAGTAACTAAAGCGGATTTCTTTAAGGAGGCTAATGAAAGCAGATCAATATTCACAGCCATAAGGAAAATACAAGTACTGTTCTTTGGTCATGTGAGGAAGGGGGGAGTAAAGTAAAGGACCCTTTTCCACGCCTTTAGGTGTATAGGGCATATAGGGCTAGACCTATATTTTATAGACCAATCGGCATAAGATGGGTGATATGGTCAGCATCAGGCTGGCTGCCTCTACTTCCCAGGACTGCACCCGGTACCCACTCAAAGCTGGGTCGACCTGAGAGCCAAAGTCATTTTTGAAAAAAGTCCGGCTCCGCCAGGGAGCGAACCCATGACCTTCCGATCCGCGGCGAGCGTCTAGCCGCTCCACCACGGCGACTCCCGTGGAGGGTATAGGCTTTGGAGGTACTCCTGTCAAATCCGGACGAAGACTAAAAAGCCTTGGACGACTTAGTCAGAGTTCTCTCCCTTGGCCGCACTCCCAACAGTGATCGGAAAAGCCAACGAAACAAAGAAGACAGTCACGTCGACATCAGGGCTGCCAATGCTTGGTTGTTTCCCCCAGATCTGGGTTTTTTTCGACGCTGCAGGACAATTCTGGTTTTTTTTGGGTGTGTTTTGTTTGTTGGTTTTTGCCGATTTGTATGCTTTAATGATCGATAAATTTGCGTGGTTAGGGGTAGGGGTTAGGGCTAGGGAGTAGGATTAGGATTAGGGTTAGCGGTAGGGTTAGGTTTAGCGTTAGATTTGACAATTTTGACGCCGGAGTTCCCTATAATCGCGCACAGTCCCATACACACACAAACAATATAGGGCCTCTGGATGCTGGTCAAACGCACATTTCGCCAACGATTGGGGGCACCAGCCGCACGCAATTGGCGTCATATTTGGCAGAGTTTCGGTGGCGCCACTCCCACAAACATCAGATTGTCGGCCAGTATTTCGAAATCCTACGTCAAAATTTTCACATCTAACCCTAACCCTACCCCTAACCCTAACCCCAACCCTAACCCTAACCCTAACCCTAACCCTAACCCTAACCCTAACCCTAACCCTAACCCTAACCCTAACTCTAAACCCTAACCCTACCCCTAACTCTAACCCTACCCCTAACTCTAACCCTACCCCTAACTCAAACCCAAACACTACACATCCCTACACGCAACCGTATGATGACTAAGCATCCCTTCACGATGCCTCACGCAACCGTACGCACCCCTGCACGCAACCGTATGATGACTACGCATCCCTTCACGATGCCTCACGCAACCGTACGCAGCCCTACAGGCAACCGTATGATGATAGGTAAGTGTGTCGTTTGTTTCGTTGGCTTTTCCGATCACTGTTTGCAGTGCGGCCAAGGGAGAGAACTCTGACTAAGTCGTCCAAGGCTTTTTATTCTTCGTCCGGATTTGACAGGAGAGCCGGCTTTGGAAACTATTGTGATGACTGGGAAGATCAACGTAGAAGAGGCAGAGGCAGACGAGAGAGATGATGGTTTTACCCAACTGTCATCCCTCATTCTCAATATGCCCCAGCCATTTCAACCTCATGCTGCCAGTAATCAATGGTGATTATGAATTATTGTTTTACTAGACAAAAAAGATGAACAGATAGTAAACACAAATGATGCGTACATCATAAAGTAAAATATCTTTTCAGATTTAGTTGCCAGGTTGCAGTGTCAACGAAAACCTGACGGAACCACGCAGCATGTTGGCAAACAGATCTATGAATGGGTATGTGATAGTTTATGACTGACTGACTTTCTACCCTACTAGGACATCACATAAGCGATTAACACCCGATGACACAAAGTGCCACCTTGTGGGTGAGGATCGCCTTGGAGAGGTCCCAGAAACCGCGTTCAGACAATTGGCCATTTTATGGCCTGCCTATATTGCAGCCCCTAGAAAAAGCCAGGGTGGGGCTTCAAATGACAAAAAAATTCATCCTAAAAAGGACGAAACTGGATAATATCTAATAGTTTATGTCTAGACACTTCTTAATTACGTCCAACCTACGACCTAAAGTTTTAAGTCTGAATTCGTATTTAGACGGATTTGTTCTTTATTTAGAAAGGACCTATGCTTCCAGCCTTAAACATTCACAGGGGCGCCAACACAAAGACAACTTTAGGAGCGAGAAGGAGCGGAGGTCTCTTGTAATATAATAGAGATGGGAAGGACGGTTCTCCTGGGGCCTAAGCCTTGTTTGAGTGCGCAAAAGATAAAAAATAATATAATTATATCTCAAAAAGCAAATAAATATACTAATATGTTCGGAGTATGCTCAGTCTACGAAGGCTCAGGTGGCTGGGTCACACCTGGAAAATGGAAGATAACAGAGTCCCCAAGGACATCCTCTGTGGTGAATTAATAATGGGTCGAAGATGTCGATACCGGTCTCTACTACGATATAAAGATGTGTGCAGACGGGACATGAATGTTACATATACTGAGGTGGACTCATGGGAACAAAATGCCATGGACCGTGTTATGTGGAGGGAGCACATCAGAAAGATAATGAGAACGAAGGAAGAAGGGATTGCAGAAAGGATGAGAGCTGAAACACATTAAACAGGCATGTTGACAACAATGGTCCTGAAATTTCATGCTATAAATGTGAATGACTTTTATATAAGAGGGCAGGACTTGCTAGTCACACTCGGATGTGAGTCTCATGTCTCCTCATAACGCAATATAACACTATCGTCTAGAAAGATGGCAAGGTGCCAGTTATGTTTGGATGATACAAAATACAAAATCGTATACTTCAGAAGAGAACTTCTATTTATGGTTTGGGTTTAAACCATTTGTACATTTTATACAGGACAGACCTGATAAGGAGACGGTGTAAAACAATAAGTTTTTCTTATCAGAAATTCCGTTTATCCAGATAAGAGTTCAAGAAAACAATTGTCCAGGATAAACAAATTGTTCTTCATAAGAAATTTTCATATCCGAGTTCTCCCTAAGTGGTTTGCACTGTTATTGGGAAGGGGATGTGTAGAAGGGGTTACTGGGGATGTGTAGAAGGGGTTACTGGGAATGTGTAGAAGGGGTTACTGGGGATGTGTAGAAGGGGTTACTGGAGATGTGTAGAATGGGTTATTGGGGATGTGCAGAATGGGTTATTGGGGATGTGCAGAATGGGTTATTGGGGATGTGCAGAATGGGTTACTGGGGATGTGCAGAATGGGTTACTGGAGATGTGCAGAATGGGTTACTGGGGATGTGTAGAATGGGTTACTGGGGATGTCCAGAAGGGGTTATTAGGGATGTGTAGAATGGGTTACTGGGGATGTGCAGAATGGGTTATTAGGGATGTGTAGAATGGGTTACTGGGGATGTCCAGAAGGGGTTATTAGGGATGTGTAGAAGGGGTTACTGGGGATGTGCAGAATGGGTTATTAGGGATGTGTAGAATGGGTTACTGGGGATGTCCAGAAGGGGTTATTAGGGATGTGCAGAATGGGTTATTAGGGATGTGTAGAATGGGTTACTGGGGATGTGCAGAATGGGTTATTGGGGATGTGTAGAATGGGTTACTGGGGATGTGCAGAATGGGTTATTGGGGATGTGCAGAATGGGTTACTGGGGATGTGCAGAATGGGTTACTGGGGATGTGCAGAATGGGTTACTGGGGATGTGCAGAAGGGGTTATTGGGGATGTGTAGAAGGGGTTATTGGGGATGTGCAGAATGGGTTATTGGGGATGTGCAGAATGGGTTATTGGGGATGTGCAGAATGGGTTACTGGGGATGTGCAGAATGGGTTACTGGGAATGTGCAGAATGGGTTACTGGGGATGTGTAGAATGGGTTACTGGGGATGTCCAGAAGGGGTTATTAGGGATGTGTAGAATGGGTTACTGGGGATGTGCAGAATGGGTTATTAGGGATGTGTAGAATGGGTTACTGGGGATGTCCAGAAGGGGTTATTAGGGACGTGTAGAAGGGGTTACTGGGGATGTGCAGAATGGGTTATTAGGGATGTGTAGAATGGGTTACTGGGGATGCCCAGAAGGGGTTATTAGGGATGTGCAGAATGGGTTATTAGGGATGTGTAGAAGGGGTTACTGGGGATGTGCAGAATGGGTTATTGGGGATGTGCAGAATGGGTTATTGGGGATGTGCAGAAGGGGTTATTGGGGATGTGCAGAATGGGTTATTGGGGATGTGCAGAAGGGGTTATTGGGGATGTGTAGAAGGGGTTATTAGGGATGTGCAGAATGGGTTATTGGGGATGTGCAGAAGGGGTTATTGGGGATGTGCAGAATGGGTTATTGGGGATGTGCAGAATGGGTTATTGGGGATGTGCAGAAGGGGTTATTAGGGATGTGTAGAATGGGTTACTGGGGATGTGCAGAATGGGTTATTGGGGATGTGCAGAAGGGGTTATTGGGGATGTGTAGAATGGGTTATTGGGGATGTGTAGAATGGGTTACTGGGGATGTCCAGAAGGGGTTATTGGGGATGTGTAGAATGGGTTATTGGGGATGTGTAGAATGGGTTACTGGGGATGTGCAGAAGGGGTTATTGGGGATGTGTAGAATGGGTTATTGGGGATGTGTAGAATGGGTTACTGGGGATGTCCAGAAGGGGTTATTGGGGATGTGCAGAATGGGTTATTGGGGATGTGTAGAATGGGTTATTGGGGATGTGCAGAATGGGTTATTGGGGATGTGCAGAAGGGGTTATTGGGGATGTGTAGAATGGGTTATTGGGGATGTGCAGAATGGGTTACTGGGGATGTGTAGAAGGGGTTATTAGGGATGTGCAGAAGGGGTTATTGGGGATGTCCAGAAGGGGTTACTAGAGGTTGAGGTGGTAGAGTTTCCGGCAGCCCTGTTGTAATTTAGAATAGTTAACAGGCATCTATCTACAAGCTATTTCAAGACATTTTCATTATACAGTGAATCTGTCCTTATTATTCGCATCAAACTAGGTGCATTGTAGAAATAACATTATCGGAAAAGCATGGTCTCGGGTAAGAGGGGCAGGGGCCGAGCAGCACAAAGATGGGCACATGACATAAAAGACACTGGATAGAATTGTGCATGAGGCGGGAGAGCTGGGTAGGGACCGAGTTTCTTTCAGGCGGACTGATGAGAGCGACGTTTTGTATCGGATCCCACAGATGATGATGCGGGTTCTCATTATCCGTCAACTACATCGCTGCTGCCTCCACATTCAGTTTCACTAATAGATTATGTAGTCATGTCATGAGAAAGAGAACACTGGATTAATTTAACCTCTTTACGGTGAGAAAGCTGGAGGGGAAAAGAGGCAGTGGGAAGTTGACAGAAAAGTTGCTGGACAGTCCGACATCATGGTATGGAAGATCATCTGCGTCAGAATTGAATGAAATTACACGAGACAGAAGGTTGTGGATTCACATGACTACCAACGTAACACGGCATCGACTTTAATAAGAAGAAGAATAGAAGCAGTTCCGTCTATCAGAATTGGTTCTATGTAGTTCTCTGAATGATTATTGTTATTTGCTGAATTGTGTACGTATACACAAACAGGAACCCGAGTCCGCTCATCTCTCTGTATATCTCGTGAATCAAAGCGCAAGTGTGTGAGAAACATATTTAGATTAAATATGACATTAAAGTAAGGCAAAGGACACTTTTTCCACCCCTACAGGCGTATAGGGCACACAGGACTTTCACGGCAAGAACTAAAGGAAAGGTCATCAAAGAAGACAGTGGAGCCTGTACTTCTACCACCACTAGCATGACTATGGAGGTCACTGCTGTGACAAAGGCCGTAGAATGGCTGAAAACGTAGGAGTTCACCAGTGCATGTTTTCTCAGCGGCTCAATGAGCACGCTACAGAAGATCAATGCGGGGCACATATGGAAGCAGTGGCTCCTTGTGATAAAGCACGCAGCCTTAACTTTTGTCCTTGGTCATGCTGGTGTGAAAGGCAATGAGAGAGCAGACTAACAGTGCGACTATCAGGGATGGGTCATCTATAGACAGGCGAGACATCATCAATGCCATACGTGAGACTAAACGCTGTGAGGCTTTCAGCGTCGTGGAGAATGATTTGTTCACTCAGTGGACTGCACACCAGGGGTGCACCGATTGGAACCGCGATACAGAAAACCAAGCGGGAGCGCCACCTGTTGTTACATCAGCCAAAACAGAATGGGAGTTGTTAGCCTAAAAACTCTTGGAGACACACCCAGGGGGAGATCGGAGCACTTATGGTCATGTCTGATGTGCGATAAAGAAGATCTTTAAAAGAACAATGAACAAATGGCTATGTCTATGTTTATAGACCAGTCGGCAACCGCTGGGTGATGTGATCAAAATTACGCCGACCGCCTTCACTTCCCAGGACTTTACCGTTGATACCCATTTAATGATGGCTTGACCTGGGAGCCGATGTCATTAACTTGAAAAAAAAGTTATGTTCCCTCAGGCACAGAACCCACGACCTTCTGGTCCGCAGGCGAGGTCTAGCCGCTACACCTTAGCTGCTCCCCAAAGTGGATGTGTGCAAGAAATATGTTGAGAGAAAACATGACAGTATTTGTATTAAATGATACACTTTTGCAGTCCGGTGGTCTTCGTGCCTACGTGAAATATTGCGCAAACCAAATCAAGGCCAAAGCGCTTTTTGACGAGAAGAGGACTGACCCAGCAGTTGAAGATTTTCTGGAACGATGTCTCGCTTCTCCATTCAGCCACAAGTTGGATCTATGGAGCTTGCTAGGTGAGATAACTCTTCTGTTGTTGTATAATTTTTACAAGATACGAACATTATTCAACCAAGTCAAAAAATGTACGTGTTTGGGAATGACTTAAAAAAATACTGGGGAGCCGACACAAAGAAAACATTTAAAGGAGCACCCCAACAATCGCATAATGTTCTAGGGATAAGATGCTCAGAAAGCATAAGCCTTGTTTCAGTGCGCAATTATGATAAAAATGTATTGTTATCCGCGGAATGGCAAATTAAATACACTTATATATGGTCAATAATATGTGTAAATGTGTAAAGAAATAATTAGAAAAGGGCTTTCTATATTTTTAATTTCACCGGAGGAATGAAGAGGGTTATGAGTGGGACACTCAGTCGCTGTCCATTTTTTTTTCTTGGAAAAAAAGGCGGCGGGGAGGGGGTGGGAGTGGGGGAAGAGGTTCCTCACTCAAACCCTAAACAACGTTAAAATGGTTGTTGTTCCTACTGCAGTGCAGACCTGATAAAGAAAACTCAACATGGACCCAGTAAATGGTTCCTCTTATCAGAAATGCTTCTTTATCCAGAAAAGAATTCAAGCAAGAAAAATTGCCGGGGATAAAGAAATTGTTTTTCACAACAGAAATTCGCCACATCTGAGGTCGACTTAAGTGGTTTAAAAAAAAACATTGAGGGGGAGGGTGGGGGGTTCAGTATGCCTGAGCTCCCGAGTTCCGGGGCCGCTGGCTTAAAAGTCTTTTCACTGAGAGTTAGACAGAAGGTATTCAGACGTTGCATCGATCTGTTCTCTGTATGGCATAGAAGCCTGGAATTCTAACTAACAAATTAGGAAGAGAGGTGCTTTATTTATATCTTACCCCCAGATGACATCACAGGACAGACCAACATTTGAGAGGGTGGTAAGACGGTGTTTCCCAGCTTTCTGATGTTTTTAGCGATCCAAAAACATCTAGAACTGGCCCTAACCCCAACCCACCTACGTCCCACAAGAGAGTGCAGTCTAGGTCCCACGACTGCATCCAGCCTATCTACCACCCCCACCCTCCTGAAATATTAGACTGTCACGTGAACTGTGCATTTCTCCTGTTTGAGGTAAGATATAAATAAAGCACCGGAAGAGATTCTAGGCAGCAAAGAAGTACTTTCTGAGATGTATAGTGCGAATATATTGAACAGTCATTGCCTGGAAAAGTCTCATGAGTCTCGTACCCAACTACTCATTTGAAAGAAACAAACAGTATTTTTTGGCTATATAAAATCAATTCAGAGAAAGATATTGGAGAAAATTGAAACGATTGGGAATCTCAATGGCAGAAGAGGCAAAGCTAATAAAGGATGGTGCGGTGGCGGGGCTGGATTAATTTGCATAGATTTTAGATTAGATGGAGAGGTTATCGTGTGATATTTGTCCCCCTTTTCGCTTCGCTGCCGAGAATTCTTGCGCAGCAAGCTTTATAGGACTAGTAACTGGTAATTTTTTACATGCTGTAGTTTCTGCATAATTGGCATTAGCATGCAGCAAGCGTTCTTCTCACTTTTTTTTTTAAGGAAAACAAAGGGGGTAGGGAGTGTCGTCTCACTGATATCACTGAGTATAGAGATATGAGTGCCTACATCATTTGGCAAGGCACATAATGATTATACCTGAGAATGAAACAGTAAAACGAAACACGCAAACTGCAATAAATATCTATAATGGTGTTTTTTTTTAAACTTTATGTTTGCTGCTTCTCTCCCACCCCCCCCCCCCCACCCCCGGAAATTGCAGATGGTGCCAGGAGCCATTTCGTAAAGTATCCTCTTCTTGTGAACAGTATTCTCAAATATGTAAGTTGATTTTATTATAAAACATTTAAGTTGATTTTATCATCAAATATGTCAGTTGATTTTATTATCAAATATTTCAGGAGTTTATTCTCATTTTGGGGAAAGAGGGGGGGTGGGGGGGGGAAGAATAACAAGAAGATTGGGTGAATACATAGATAAATACATCATCATCATATAGCAGGTCCTTTGCAGAACGTCGCTCTCATTACGGTTTGCCTGAAAGAAATCGGCCTCGACAGCTATCCTGCCTCGTGCACCTCGTAATCCAATGAGTCACTTATATCCTGTGCCCAACTTCGTGTTGGTCGGCTCCTTCCTGGTATCATGCATTCTACTATTATTTTTTCCAATCTGTCGTGGCGCTTGATACAGCCAAGATATCTCACCTTCGGATACAAGATGCTGTTTATTAGCAAATCTTCCTTGATGATGTTCACATGTTTTAGAATGTCAATATTTTGGTTCTTCTTTATCCATGGCATTCTAAGAATATTTTTTTAAATAGCATTTCAATCCAAAAGCCCCTATTTTCTTTCGTAAGGACTGGGACTAATCCGTATGTTGCTACAGGATAGATTCATGCTCTTAAAATGTTAACTGAGATTTCCTTGCTGGTGCTTAAGCAAAGAAATTTAATGCTGTTTAATCTCTGTATTGCTATGGTCATCCTTCTCTTAACGTCCGTTGAACAGGCTCCACTGTTGTTTATTATGGAGCTTAGATACCAAAAGTTTGTGATATTTTCAATTTGTTAATTATTTAGATAGATATAAAGAAAGAGAAAGACGGACAGACAGACAGACAGACAGACAGACAGACAGACAGACAGACAGACAGACAGGCAGGCAGGCAGGCAGACAGGCAGACAGACAGACAGACAGACAGACAGACAGACAGACAGACAAACAATATATAAAACAAAAACAAACTAAATATCTAGTCAGTTAGGCTAGACATTCGTCCGCAAAAACGTGTGATGTCGGAACTACGCTAATTGCATACTAATATTTTGCAAGTACCTACCAACATGCAGATAAGAAGGAAAAAAAAAAAAAACTAGAAGAAGGTGAAACCTTTAAATATCTCGGCTCCCACAAAATCAGCGTCACAGTTAAGGCCAATATTTACAAATCACTGGCATTGTACATTTTCTTAAACGGATGTGAGAGTTCGACTCTCACTGTGAAAATGGAAAGGAGGATTCAGGCTTTCGAATGTAAATGCTACAGACGCATTTAACGAATTAGTTATTCAGAGCACAAACTAACAAATATAAAGTAAAAAAAGTAAAGTAAAGATCCCTTTTCACGCCTTTCGGCGCATCGGGCATATGGGCAGAGCGTCCCATATTTTTACAGACCATCAGCGCTCTGTGGTTAATGTGGTCAGCCTTACGCCGGCTGTCTTTACTTTCCCATCCTGGTACCCATTTTAGGCTGGGTCGACCTGCGACGTCCCATACCACGATAAAAATCCGCGCAGCCTGCAGTGGGTTTCGATCGCGGTATGCTTGTTTACGAGTCGGACTCGCAACGCCTTAGCCACGGACGCCGCACTAACAAATATGCCAGAGAGAAAATAAACAAATTTGCAGGACACCAGGAGCCTCTCTTGGCAGTGGTGAAATGTTGCACGGGGTGAGGCAGATGCGATTGCAAAGACTGTATGTACTTCAAGGAACGCTGGACAGTCTAAGAAAATGAGGGCAAATAAGAATCTGGAATGACAAGATCAAGAAATGGACAGGACTAAGTTATCATACACTTATTTATCAAGCGGAAACCAGAGAAAGATGGCGGGTTTTGTGTGCTAGTGCTGCCATCAATACACCTACACCACGCTAACGGGTCAATGGCTATGTTACCATATGTTTGCTGGCCACACGAAACTAACCTATTTTCATACAAGTTGTTAGTGTTTACCTATGTACTTTGGGCATGCCTTTTTAACTGTATACTTTTTTTCCCCCTTCCTCTGCTAGATTCCGAGTGATTCCGGTGAGGCAGATTTCTTGAAGCAGTCTGTGAGTAGTAATTATTTGTTTCCACACTTTCTAATTAGTAAATGTGTGTTGCTAGTGGTTTAAGTGAAAAAATTATTTGTGAACATCTGTAGTTCAGCGGATCGGATTTGAAAATGGCACAAGATACATTTCACTGTCGCACTTGATAACTAGTGATCAAGCCAAGCAATTAGTTCCAGCAAAATGTAGAAACTTGAACACACAGTAAATATATGAGACAGTTGCTAGAGCTGCCAAGACCAACATTCGACATAAGAAGTGCAATTTGTCATCGATGGAAAGAATCTGTCACGACAAACTGGCCCAATCGAAGCAAACTTATTTCATAAGGCACATCGCAAGCATGAAATCAAATCACACTGTAATTTTATGAGTATCACGACACAGGACATTCCTTGTGCGTTAACTCGACTACTATGTCTAGAGTGCAAAGATGATAAAGTGAACTGAAAGCAGTTTTCCTGTAACGTGACACATAAATAGTTTTGTCAATAACTGTGTTTTCTCTTTGCAGATTAAAGTGATAGAAAATATAATCCATGAAGCGGATGAACAAATGGGCGTAGCCAGTTGTGAGCAATGCAAGTCCACTTTGGTTTACCTGTTTGATGAGCAGGTATATAACACTACACAGAACTTTCACACTACTAATCTAACGGTTTGCTAAAATATCATTCCAAACACTTCATTATGTTTAAACCAAAATGCCATCGTCGGCAAACATAGGATATGTCGCTGGAGTGGCAGGAGGTGTCTTTTGTGCAGCCGAGTATAAGTCTCATGACCTCAGTTTGTACTGGGTCTTGTCTTTGTAGTCAGGTTCCGCTGACAGTGAGGAGGCCCAGACCACAGCCAAGGACGCAAGACCTTAATAAAGAAGGAAAAGTAGGCGTTGTTCAATATCAGCTGCTGCTAGCACCTAGAGTGCTGTCAGACCTTTCCTGGATCTAAATAGGACGTTGTCTACATGACATTTGTGTGACGGGCATCTGTCAAATGTCATGCCCAGGAATTTCATCGTGTCCATTCTCTCGATGTCCACACCACACATGCTTAAGACTGGCGTTGGTGTACTGACAATGTGGGTTTCCAGAGAGAATCTTCTTAAGAAGGCCTTCGACAGGTTCATTTGAGCACTCGATTCCTGGCAGCACTCGCTGTCTAGTTCAAGTTGTAGCGTAGTTGTTACTTTCTGTGTTCACTTCAAGTGCGCGGCAGGCATTTTATCTGCTCGGCATATTTGATATCTAGCAATATGTTAAGATAATAATAATAATAAGTTAAAAGTCAAGATGATAATAATAATACTCCCACCAAGCGAAACACAAGAAACTATTCACCGTAAGCGCTCTCTCCCACACTATTGGATAAGTGGCTCCACCTAACCATAGGTAAAAAAAAAAAGTAAAGGACCCTTCTCCACGCCTTTAGGCGTATAGGGCATATAGGGCTAGACCTATACTTTTATAGACCACTCGGCACAAGATGGGTGATGTGGTCAGCATCACACCGGCCGCCTTTACTTTCACGGGACTGCACCCTGTACCAACTCAAGGCCGGGTCGACCTGGGAGCCAAGGTCATTTTTTAAATAAGTCCGCCTCTGCCAAGGAGCGAACCCACGACCTTCCGATCCGCGGCGAGCATCTAGCCGCTCGGCCACGGCGACTCCCTCACATAACCATACATACATATATCCTGTTATTTTTAAGTATTAAAAAAATATTTCATAGTTCAAATATATTAGTATATTTATTTGCCATACAACACATTATACAATTAAGTGTGTTCTCTTTGAATCGGTCCTACTGCCACTGTCGTATTGAGCTTTTTGCTTACCCATTTGTAACACAGTTGCTACCACCTCTCTCTCCCCCCCCACACACACACACACACGGTACTCGTGCAGACCCACTGCCCCTCATAAGCATGTCCTAAAAGTTAACTAATTAGGGATGTGCATGATTCTGAGAGGTCAGGAACCAAGCGTGCAAAAAAAAAAAAAAAAACCTCCATACTTAAAAAATGGACGTGCATTCAAAACTCAAAGACTCTGGAACATGAGCGAACACCCACATCAGTTGTCAAGACTTTTGATGATGACACAGATAGACCCTGCCGTGACATTACGGCTTCGCTGCACATAGTCAGAATGGTATTAACAAGAGAACAATTTCTTACAGAAAATTCTAGAGATCGAGCAATCCGTGACTCTCGTGTGCAGTGGCTGCATGAAGAACATCAAAGGAAATGTAAGTATGTATTAGATCACTTATTGCGGGCTTACCCATGTCTGTGATATTTAATTTCTCGACATTTCTCTTCTATAGACTTTTTTTAAATCTTTCAAGTGCGTTTTTTTTGGGGGTAGATATACGACAAGCAGGGTATGCTTCTGTTTTTAATGTGTTCGAAACTTTACTGTTTCTATGTCTGTAAGTGTTTCTGTTTTTGGTGTCCAAGTGGCTGCAAGTGTTTCTGTTTTTGTTATCTGATTGGGGGCAGGTGTTTCTATTTTTGGTGTCTGATTGGCTGCAGGTGTTTCTGTTTTTGGTGTCTGATTGCCTGCAAGTGTTTCTGTTTTTGGTGTCTGATTGGCTGCAGGTGTTTCTGTTTTTGGTGTCCGAGTGGCTGCAAGTGTTTCTGTTTTTGATGTCTGATTGGCTGCAGGTGTTTCTGTTTTTTTTGTGTCTGATTGCCTGCAAGTGTTTCTGTTTTTGGTGTCTGATTGGCTGCAAGTTTTTCTGTTTTTGGTGTCTAATTGGCTGCAAGTGTTTCTGTTTTTGGTGTCTGATTGGCTGCAGGTGTTTCTGTTTTTGGTATCTGATTGCCTGCAAGTGTTTCTGTTTTTGGTGTCTGATTGGCTGCAAGTGTTTCTGTTTTTGGTGTCTAATTGGCTGCAAGTGTTTCTGTTTTTGGTGTCTTATTGGCCGCAAGTGTTTCTGTTTTTTGTCGGTCTCAGTGGTTGTGAGTTTTTCTTTGTTTTGTGTTTCAAAAACTGTATGTGTTTCTATTTTTGGTGTTTCAGTGGCTGTAAGTATTTCTGTTTTTGATGTCGCAGAAGCTGTACGTGTTCCCGTTTTTGATGTTGCAGAAGCTGTACGTGTTCCTGTTTTTGATGTTGCAGAAGCTGTACGTGTTCCTGTTTGACAAGGCAGCCGTGGTGTCTCGGTCTATATCTCAGGACGGGAAACAAATGTACCAGGTTTACCGCCAGCCCATTCCAGTAGCAGAATTAATTGTTGAAGATTTGCCAGACGGTGAGGTCAAGCTGGGGTCATTCCGCAGTGCATTTGGACAAGGCGGATCTACAGGTAGTCATTATACAGTTTAAAGCAGTGCTCTTCAAACTATTTACAGCAGCGGCCCACCAAAACAGGGAGAATTGTTTCACAGCCCACCTGACAGCGATCAAAATACAGAAACAATAACAAATGTAACTGCAGTTTATTTGTTAACGGCAATGTAAAAAAAGAAATTACATTCTATATTCGTATTTTATTACTGACATGGCTAAGAAAGCCATACATTGATTTCAAATGATGAGCAAATTTGGACAGTTTATTGCCCCATTTGACATAATTTCTGAACATAGTACATACGTATGTTGTAACAAATGTTCATTCTAAGAGCTACAGTAAAACTAAGCATTAAAAAAAAGTCCTTGTGGACATTCCCAGTAACGTTTGCTGTTCCGCGGCCTACTCTATTTATTAGAGAAGGCGTTGGCTGTTCCTTTTGTTTGTGTTGCACATTTCGAAGTATGGCCATTTTGTGGTTGTCTTTGTTTCTTATAAACTTGAAGCTGTATTACTTTGCATGTCTAGTTTATCTTTACCACTGTTTATCTTGCTACGACTAAAGGAGGTCGAAAGGTTTTGATGGTTAATCTTTTTTTTGTTCTGGTCACATCTTCAAATGTTCAGAAAAGTGTAGTTTCCTGTGACAGTGAAATTGAAAGGCTAAAAAGGCATTGAAAAGGTCAGGAAACTTAAAGAGAGGGTCGCTGCAGCAACTGCAACTCAGGACACGATTCAGAAGACGTGATAAGAGATTGAATACTGTCTACACATCACCATAGCAACAAATGGTGTCTCAACTGAAGTGTATTAGGAGAAGCCTAAAATGTAAACAAATTCTGAACATTTAAAGAAGCCCCATGTACATACCCATTAAATACTTCTTTTTTAACAGTTTACAATGCTGACAATCATTCTCATTGAACCTGTGTGGTTTAGTGGCCCAACACTGATCCAAAGGTCGTGGGCTCAGATCCTGATGGAGGCGGACTTTTTCCAAAAATGATCTGGGCTTTCAGGTAGACCTACACAGTTCAGTCCCCTTACATTTTTTCTAGTGTGGAGGGAGTTCAGTCCCCTTACACTTTTTCTAGTATGGATTGAGTTCAGCCCCCTTACACTTTTTCTAGTGTGGAAGGAGTTCAGTCCCCTTACACTTTTTCTAGTATGGAAGGAGTTCAGTCCCCTTACACTTTTTCTAGTGTGGAAGGAGTTCAGTCCCCTTACACCTTTTCTAGTTTGGAGGCAGTTCAGCCCCCTTACACTTTTTCTAGTGTGGAGGCAGTTCAGCCCCCTTACACTTTTTCTAGTGTGGAAGGAGTTCAGTCCCCTTACACCTTTTCTAGTTTGGAGGCAGTTCAGCCCCCTTACACTTTTTCTAGTGTGGAGGCAGTTCAGCCCCCTTACACTTTTTCTAGTGTGGAGGCAGTTCAGCCCCCTTACACTTTTTCTAGTGTGGAGGCAGTTCAGCCCCCTTACACTTTTTCTAGTGTGGAGAGAGTCTCAACACTGTGTTAGACACAAATTTTAAAAACAACTTGAAACAATAATCTCATTTTTTGGGGAAACATAGGAATAGACCCACTGTCCCCAACAAGCATGTCCTAAAAGTCAACTAATTAGGGGTGCTTTCTTCAAAGTTAGAGTGCATTTGTCTGAGAGACCAGGGACCAACAGTCTGCTTACAAATACACCAGACCTGTAAAAAGATGTGCATGCAAAACATGAGTTCTGAAACAAAATTAAAGTTCAGAGGTGGACAAAAAACCAGAACTTTCAGCTAGAGTTTACTGCCATTGAAAAAGATAAAACAATCAGAACATAATCTTTCTTTTTGATTTTTTTTCCACAGTGAAAAATTTGATACGGATCTCATTTCAAAACTCCGATAGAGGCCAGTCTCACACATTAATCGCCAACGATGAACACGACAAACGGCAATGGATGCATGCCTTCAACAAAATAACCTCTAAAATTATCACTGTTTTAGGAGAGAGCAAGCTTCAAGACAGACCGTTAAATAGCTGAGTTGTGTACCCTGGGAAGATTCATGCGTGGAACTAGGGAAAGTAATATACTGCTTGTTTTTGTAGTAATTAAAACGCATTTTATACTAGAACGGACAATAATTTACAACGAGATGTTAAAGTTGGCCAATCTTGCAAGTCACAAAAACATCTTTATAATATAGTAGGGACATTGCACCCATAATGGCTCACATGAGAGACTCGGAACTTTGTCATTTCCCTTTTATCAACTTCAAAACGTCTCAGAATTGAAGACAAATTGCTTATGAACAGCAACATTATGTATTTTAACTAAAATTTTGGTCATATTTAACACCACAGTTGGCAGAAGATAAACTTGTTTTCAACCAGGGTCTAATTCTGACTGATCATCACAGTCAAAATGCATCCTCCACAATGAGAAAGGTATCTTGACGTTTGATTGTATTGCAGTGTCTCTGTAATTTCCAATTCTTTGTTGTTCTATAAGTCTAGAAAGTGCGTAATTCATCTACAACATTTATTGAATTTAACATGAATGTACTTTCATAGTAAAATGTTAGAAATGGTATGAAAAGCTAATAAAGCTAAAGCAGAAAAGACATTTTACAGCATTAGCTGGCAACAGTAAAATACTGTTTGGTCATATCAGAAGCAGATACTGAGAACAGTGTAAATCTGGTAGGGCTGATCAGACAAAGATAAGAGGACCAGATGGGGAATTTTTACTGTATAGTATGATAATCAAAACTAACTACTAGCATCATGAGGTGTTGTAGACACAATAGCTGAGGCAGGTAGAGAGAATGGTACATAACCAAAAAGATTAAAACTGCGAATGAAATAGTCATATGGAGATAGACCATAAGGCAGACCAAGAAGACGCAAGAAAGATAATATTTGAGCAAATCTAGAAGCACCAGCTGGAAAGAGAAAGCCATTAACAGAGATGAATCAAGGTGGGTGATATCTGCCGCAATAAACCTCAAGGGTTAGAATGCCGAAGAAGAAGGAAATAGGATAAGACACAAAGAGATTGTGATAAATTAATAAATAAATTGCGTATGAAACCAGGATCTTCATTCTCAAACAGCATCTAAGAGTGTGAGCTGTATTTTCATTTAACAAGCTGTCATTTAGGGTTTGCAGCCAAATTCACCAACCTATTCCTCAGATTTTTTCCCACAAATCTGAAGGCCTCAGAACCATTCTAGAGTTTCCAGGCCCTCTGCATGCCTGGATCGTATGCAACTTCACCAAATGATTACTGAGAATGTACTTACCTGCTTAGAAATGCTGGTTACACCCGGCTGGTGCAGCTATTACAGGTGCCCTAATTATAGCTTCTTTGGAGGTTAAACAGGGTATCTTGGATCTGCCGTCCAGATTGAGCTTTTGAAATCTCAGACTGGAGTGGTAAACCTTTAGATAGCACCCTGGATGGGACAAACTGATCCACTGATTGATCACTGTGAAAAAGTACTCACAAAATACAGTGTAAAGTACTTATTTTCAACAAATGACCACTATAAAATGCGCTCAGACTAATCGGTGACAAAATTCTTCAAACAAAAGTAAAGATCTTTGAAATTTTGGTTACAAACTTTAGTTTTCTTGCTTTGTAGTTTTTGAAAAGTTACTAATAAACATTGAGAACTTTAGCTGTTTATGTTGCCTTTTATGTTTTAAATGCCAGACTTTGTTTACTTTTAATAAACACGTGGAAGCTGACTTTGTTGTTGTTGGTAGATTACTTTTGTGCAGCTCTATGTAAAAGGGAAGGTGATTTCATAGCAGAGTTTACCATTTAGTGATAAGTACGAGGCACGGTAAAAAAAAAACAAAGTTTTGCATCTTAATTTTCAATCGTGTTTAATATGCAGGAAAGCAAATAATACTCACAGCAAAATGTAGCCCCTAAGTCTTAACTTCAAAAGTTTATTTATCAGTGTAGTCTTCATTATTCACAAAGACATGTAGCCCGGCATGACAAAAATGTCTGTCATTTTTCCTAAACCACTTGCATGCAGCAGGGGAAGGGGAGAACAAAGTAAACACAACAGAATAAACTCAAACTGACACATTTTCAAATAGCTATTGTTTATTAATTATTTAATGTACTTATACTCTTTCCTTAAAGATGAAAATGGTGGATAATGGCACATAGGAAGTAATAATGAATTTCATCATATCTTGAAACAACTCTTATTATCAACAATATGTGAGCTAACAGACTGCGATGGGTAGGTCATACAGAGAGAGAGAATGCCAGACAGACAAAAACTCTGAACACAACAAAACTAACTCAAAGTAGGACACAAAACAGACAAGAAGCTGGTGGATAGATAACAAACAGACCTACAAAGACTGGGAACTAGGAAAAAGAAACCAATCACAGAAATGAGTGGAGGCAGGTGTTATCTGCAACAATGAACTTCAGGGCTCAGAAGATTGAAGAAGAAGTAGAAGAAAAAGAAAATAATGATAAGAAGACATATATTTTTTCTGTGTCTTCTGTCTTCAAACTCACTTTGCTTAAAAAGGTTTCAATCAAAACAGACAAGTTTGTTTCTCCCCAATATTTTCCCAGGTGCTCAGCCATATTTAATTTCTTTTGCTAAGTGGTAAGATATAACTGGCACTGCGGTGAAAAAACATTAAAGTACAATGCAGATCCTTACAGCTGTCAGGACTTGCTGGCTGAATCCTGTTGCTTCATGGCCGCACATTTGTATTCTATCATCTTTTTGTGATGCATGGTGACGGCCACTCTCCACTTCCTCAACCACTGGTCAAAGGTCATGCCCTCGGTGACAACCCATGGCGTGGTAAACTGAGCTGGTTGCTCCCACCTGTATGAAGGAGGTCAGAAACAAACATCAGAGACAGAAATATAAGCACAAACAATCAATAATAAGTCAAATTTTGTGCAAACAAAAACGAGTGTGCAAACAAAAACAAGTGTGCAAACAAAAACAAGTGTGCAAACAAAGACAAGTGTGCAAACAAAAACGAGTGTGCAAACAAAAACAAGTGTGCAAACAAAAACAAGTGTGCAAAGAAAAACAATTGTGCAAACAAAAACAAGTCATATAATTGTGCAAAGAAAAACAATTGTGCAAACAAAAACAAGTGTGCAAACAAAAACAAGTGTGCAAACAAAAACAAGTGTGCAAACAAAAACAAGTTATATAGTTGTGCAAACAAAAACAAGAAATATCTTGTGCAAACCAAAACAAGTCATTTTTTGTGCAAACCAAAACATGTCATTTTGTGAGAAAGGGGGGGGGGGGAGAGGAGGGGGAGGGGAATTAAGATGAAGTCATATTTTGTACAAAGAAAAATAAAAATATTCAAAGTTTGTGCAAACAAAAAACAAGTCATATTTTGTGCAAACAAAAATGATCAAGAAAAAATCATATTTTGTGTAATAAAAAATAATCAAGAATCAGTTAAACATACAAATACAAACAATGCAAAAATAAATCTGTCAGTGTGGCTATGGATAGATGAGTATGATGATACCAACCGACGAACAAGTATTAGTTGTGTTTGAAATAGACACCTCTGTCCTGGGGCTGCCAACGAGCCACTAAGGCAGTGAGCAGCACTCTGACAAAGTCATATTTTATGTAATGCTAACAAAAACTGAAGGACAGAACTGGAGGTAAGGACAAGACCATTAAAAGATGGCGAAGAATTATTTACTGATACAAATGATACATTAATGCACAGTAAGAACTTAAAGGGACTGTCATGGGCAATATTAATCTTCTTCTTTTGCGCATTAACTGGCTGTAAACTTCAATAGACAATTTTGGTTGTTCATCCACTTCTGAACTGTAGTCTTCTTCCAGACCTGAGTTCTGCACACACATCCATTTTACAGATCTGGTTTATTTGTATGCAAACTGTTGGTTCATCACCTCTCTGGCACATGCACTCTGACTTCAAAGGAAATACCCTTAACTAGTCGACTTTTACGACATGCTTTGGGGGGGGGGCAGTGGGTCTACTGTTCCCCCTCCCCCCCCCCCCTTCCCCAAGGAAGCAGAGCCTGCAGGGAGATGCAGTGGTATATGACATGACATTTTTCCTATACTCAAAATCTGGATTTCACTGCTACTTAACAAGTCTGTTGTCAATGGCAACTAACAAAGTGTTTGCTGAAATCGGATGTACTGCATTGAAATGAGTAGATAACACAGCCTGGCTGTAAACCACAGTGCGCCAACCGCCCTTTTGAGGACAAATGTAAAAGAAAAACCTGGCCTACAACCTGTGATGAACAGGAGGCTCAATAAAAGGAGATGAAGCAGTCACTTGCAGAATGTGACGATTCCTTAAGTGAGCCCAGTATCAGAACACTAGGTTTCGATTCTACATTTACAGAAACTTCTTTAGATTGTGGGACATCCCCACTGTGGGGGTAAAATAACAGACCCACTGCCTTCCTAACAAGCAAGTCATAAGAGTTGACTAATTAGGGTTTCCTTCGCATCTGCCTGAACGGCAAGGCATCAACAGTCTGCATAAAAATAAGCCAGATCAGTAAAACAGATGTGCATGCAACAATCAAGATCTGGAACAAGATAAAGAGTAGAAGAATATTATTATGGGGAATGTTTATAGTCTTAAGACAACAACACAGCAATGAGGCAGTGCCAATGAGGCTGTGCAATGTCTCAAGGAACTAACTGAGAAAACTAACATGGACAACAAATGCCCAATGTGCCGGGCGAAGGGCACAAACATTACAGCTACTCTGTAAACAGGCACAACACACTTACACTACTCAGAGGAACAATGAAGAAGAAGAGCCTGGAATATTATCTAGGTAGCCAAGGTTTAACATGGAATGTAGTCTATATCTTTCTCTCACGCACACACATACAAACTGACCAAATATTGACTTGTTTCTGTAGGTCTGACATCTGGGAGGCACAGGTTAAGATAGCTTTCAGACTTTTCTGTAGCTTGGGCAGTAACTTGTCACATTGGGCCCGGTCATGCTCTTTAGCTTTCTGACACATGTCTGCAATTTTTAAAAAAAGTCAATACATTTGGTAGTTGCTCCTTGCCAGATTGATTTCATCTTTAACTAGGCAACAGTCATCTCAGTCTGCAAGATATTGATAATCTGGAGAATGCTGTGACAACCAGGAAGACAATTAAGTAAACTTAAGCTACATTTACTTGTTCTCTTCCTCTATAGTTACTTCTGAGTTTAGGAAGGACAGGTGGGGGGGGGGGGAGAAGGAGGAGTAAAAGATGTTATCATTTTCTGCGTATTCTTTCTATTGTGTTGTATGAGTTAACTGTCATTTTTAAGCTGTTCTTAATTTACTAAAGCTGTCATTCCATGTTTGTGTGGTCCTCCTCTCTGTCCGAGTTCATTATATTTCTTCAGCATGGCACTCTGTGGCAGCTGGTATCAGGGCATTCTTGTTAGATGGCTAAACAATTGTATCTGTTCTTTAAGGAACTGCTGGTGTGCATGGAAATGAGCAAGGTAACAGACTTACAGATAAAGCTACTGTGGAGGGCAGAAGAGCCACAGACCACGCTGATAACAAGAGAGGTAGGATGTTTGTGAGAGTGAAGTAACTGTGAATCTGCAACCATGATCAGACTGCAATTTTAAAAGGGTGTGGCCAGACAAGTACACTATGCAGGAAGCCAAAGAATAAGAAATTAATAGATAACTGGTGTCGTCACCTGTTACACACTGCAAGATTTACTGGGTGGTTGGGGGGGGGGGGGGGGGGGGGGGGGGAGAGGAATCCAAGCACTCAAGGTCTGAATCGTCTAATGTGCAATGACAATGAGGATAATCTGTTGACTAACTATCTTCTAATTTCTTCATTTCCAATTTTATCTCTTCTTATTACTCTGACACCACTTTTAAAACATCAAATCTTATTATGATTTTGCATTCATTAGTTGTAAAAGGTCCACATATGTCACTGATAGCAAACAGCTGGCCAAACCACAGTTCTCATTAGATCTGATTAATAACTGAAGAAAACCCAGGAGGATCTGGTTATGATTTAATAAACTTGTTAGCATCGTCAGGCAGAAATTCTAAAAAGTTAACTAACTGTAAACAAAATCATTTCAGTAAAAAATTCATGCATTAACAATTAGGTTAGTTGCGTATCCTTTACAAGACGTTGCAGAACCAACCCCAACAGCCCCCTGCTGTTGTGTAGTTTTTCTAGGCAAATTTACGTCCAGTAGTTTGCCATTGCTTTCTGGACAGTCGGCTTTCTTGATACCACTGTCGAAACCAACGCAAGGCGCATGGCCCGCAGCTGGGATCGAACCCGGGATCCTGGCATTACGAAGCGTTCGCATCGACTTAGCCACAGAGCCGTCAGCATTAACAGTACTGTTACAAAAATTATTAGTGAAATATAATGTTGTCAGCTCCTATGTAGTCAAATGCTGAGGCATTAACAGATATAGATGTTGTTGTTTGGTCAATACTACCTGTAGTTACCACTTTCCGTGGTGTAGCCGGAGGGTATTTGAGCCTGAGAATTTATGGCTGAATGGCTAGTGCTGCTGCCAAATTGTGCAGGTTAGGATTTCATTTTTACTCCCATCAGAAAAAAAAAAATCCACAACCTTACCAAGGATTTAAACCTGGGTCATTCGCATGAAAGCCCCTAGTGGCCCAGCCAGCCCGCACCTCAAGATCACTCACAGAAAACAATGAAGAAAAGATAAACAAATTTTATGCAGCATAATAGAAGAGCTGTAAAAGAGAAAGGAGCCTTTACTGGAAATTAATCAAAAGTCAAAAGTAAAGGGGATCAACTTCACTGCACTGGGTTATCCTATATAGCTTGGACTCTCTGCAGAATGCCGGGAGCATCACACAAAGTATGAACACCATAGCTCCAGTGATGACCTATAGGAATCTCCATAAAAGCTGCTCTTGTAAAATGAACAATGCATAATTAAAACCATATCATAACCCAAGTGCGGGGTAAATGGCTTGATCAGTTCCCCAAGGAAACCCCCTGTCTGGACAGTAACAGGCATGATGGGCAGAAGCAGAGAAAGACAAATTATTTAGAAATAACAACTTTATCAACATCTCAACTGACAAAGAGAAAGCAGACGCCTTCATCAGTCAATGGAAAGGATCCAATGATATTTTTGTGGCATCACGGTTAATGCACTCATCTGGCAAAAACCCAACTTGATGCTGAACACATAACCCACCACATGATGTTGAACACATCACCCACAGCATGATGTTGAACACATCACCCACAGCATGATGTTGAACACATAACCCATCGCATGATGTTGAACACATCACCCACCGCATGATGTTGAACTCATCACCCACCACATGATATTGAACACATCACCCACCACATGATGTTGAACACATCCCCCACTGCATGATGTTGAACGCATCACCCACCGCATGATGTTGAACTCATCACCCACCACATGATTTTGAACACATCACCCACCGCATGATGCCGAACACATAACCCACCGCATGATGCTGAATACATAACCCACCGCATGATGTTGAACGCATCACCCACCGCATGATGTTGAACACATCCCCCACTGCATGATGTTGAACACATCACCCACCACATGATGTTGAAATGCTGAACACATCACCCACCGCATGATGTTGAACGCATCACCCACCGCATGATGTTGAACACATCACCCACAACATGATGTTGACCACATTACCCACTGCATGATGTTGAACACATCACCCACTGCATGATGTTGAACACATCACCCACTGCATGATGTTGAACACATCACCCACTGCATGATGTTGAACACATCACCCACTGCATGATGTTGAACACATCACCCACTGCATGATGTTGAACACATCACCCACTGCATGCCCAGTAGGCTAGCACCTCCCTATGTGGGTTCTGGGTCTCCGCTATAGGAGGGGGGGGGGGAACAGGAACAGACCCACCCTAGCAAGCATGCAGTAAAAGGCAACTAATTAGGTGAGTTTCCTTTAAAGTCAGAGTGCATCTGCCTGAGAGTCAAGGAAAAAAAATTCAGCATACAAGTTAGCCAGATCTATAAAACAGAGTTTACAGCCAGTCAAGTGAAGAAGTCTAGCATCATACACTCGATATGCCACTGGCATAATTAGGGTTCTTCACCTTTGTATTTTAAAACTGACAAAACAGTGGTTTCTGGCTCAGCAGCTGATGCCGCAGGCCTTTTCTCAATCAGCAGGCCTTTTCTGAATCAATCAGCAGGCCTTTTCTGAATCAATCAGCAGGCCTTTTCTCAATCAATCAGCAGGCCTTTTCTCAGTCAGCAGGCCTTTACTCAATCAGCAGGCCTTTTCTCAATCAGCAGGCCTTTTCTCAGTCAGCAGGCTTTTTCTCAATCAATCAGCAGGCCTTTTCTCAATCAGCAGGCTTTTTCTCAATCAATCAGCAGGCCTTTTCTCAGTCAGCAGGCTTTTTCTCAGTCAATCAGCAGGCCTTTTCTTAATCAATCAGCAGGCCTTTTCTCAGTCAGCAGGCTTTTTCTCAATCAATCAGCAGGCCTTTTCTTAATCAATCAGCAGGCCTTTGCTCAATCAGCAGGCCTTTTCTCAATCACTAAAACTCCAGTTTAAAACTTAGCTAACAAACAAAAATGTGTATCAGATAATTTCCAGAATTTTCTGGAATGGACAGCAATGAGGAAAAGGAACTGGTGAGACTGGCTTTAAACATCAGCAGCTGAGGTGAACTGAGTGAAAAACTGACATCACATCACTTGAGGCTGCTCCATAAGCATTCTGTTCCCAACTTTAGCAGCCAGCAAAGAGTCAAAGTTCAGAACATGGCAGTAGCAGAATGATTGTATGCCATTCTTGCCATTCCTATGAGAATTGAGTGTCAGCCAGATTCCCTGGTCACTTCCTGGTGCACCATTTGCTCCACAACATAATGATCAACTTGCGGTTCCGTAGTGTTCACTTGCTACCAGAGGACTTCAACATCTAGCTCATCGTGCAAGAATTCACCAGCCAGCCAATCTGTTTACCTGTTTGTTTCCTTAAACACTGGCATACCTCAGAGAAAAGATCCAAAGGTTGCTAACTACTGGAGACCTCTGAAGCAATGCCTGTCACTGCAGCAATGAGCATGCCCCTCTCCACCTTTCTCAACATTCATGGGTTTGTTCCAATCATAAGCTAGAGTAGCTGGTTTTCAAGCCAAGGGAAAGCTGCCATGACTGCCGCCACTTCCCCATGAGCTAAAATATGTGAAGGTCTAATTCTTCCCACCCAATGGCAGTATCTGCTATGGACCAACGAGGCACGATGATCACCAAATTGTAGTTCACTGTTAGGCTAAAAATCTGCATATTTCGTCCAACATAACCAATTTCAGCAAAGAAAATCTTCATTAGTTGCCTTTAATGACATGCCTGTCTGGAGTAAGGGGTGAGGGGGGAGGGGGTCTAATCTTTTACCCTCCCCCATAAGTGAAAATGCACAATTCAATGATTAAGAACAAAAGAGATGTTATTGTAGGAATTCAAAAAATTTCTCCAAAACAAGAAACACATAAAAACTCAACAAATCCATATACTGGGCATATACCTTCCAAATTCCTCTGAACACTGGCTGGAAATATTAAATGAAAAATAAATAATATAAACTTAACTGCCAAACTCCATGATTCCGATTACCACAGAAGTTGCAGCACAAAGTAATCAGAACACATAAGGTCTATATAAACTTTATACTGCAGCTAAGCAGACTATCCCTGCTTCAGCATACAGCTAGTGTTTACTGGGATCAGAATATTTGTATATGTTTAGTGGAAACTTCATTAAAAGTGCACACATTATTTCTACACACATCAATTGTCTTCCAGATCCTTATTCCAAGCTGAAACAATCTTGATCAGTATGAATGCTCTTTCTGCTGCATCAACCCTTGAAAGCAGAAAGACTACATCACAGTATCCTGGTCATCAAGCAGCTCTCTGCACAGATCAGCAGCATCAGCAAATAAACTATCAACCTTTTCACTGCTCTGCACATGGTCTATAAAATATCTGTCTAGCCCAGTATATCAATCTAGCCCAGTATATCAGTCTAGCCCAGTATATCAGTCTAGCCCAGTATATCAGCCTAGCCCAGTATGTCAGCCTAGCCCAGTATATCAGCCTAGCCCAGTATATCAGCCTATCCCAGTATATCAGCCTAACCCAGTATATCAGCCTAGCTCAGTATATCAGTCTAGCCCAGTATATCTGTCTATCCCAGTATATCAGTCTTCTTCATAGGCCCTCAACCAACTCACGCCAAGTCGTTCTATCCTTCGCCATTACATGGAGCTCTCCCCATGTCCTCCCAATCTTTCTAACCTCATTCTCCAGCTCTCTTCTCCATGTGTTTTTTGGCCTTCCTTTATTCCTATGCCCCTGTGGGTTCCAATGCAAAGACATTCTAGTTATGCTGTTCTCCTGTTTTCTCAGTGTGTGCCCTATCCAACGCCAGCGTCTTTTCCTCACCTCCTGATCCACTGAAGCCTGTTTAGTTCTCTCCCAAAGTTCTACATTATTCTATCATACCATTTTATTCCCTCTATTCTGCGCAGGCACCAGTTAATGAATGTCTGTAATTTATTAGTAATTGCCTTCGTTGTTCTCCATGTTTCCGCCGCATACAATAGTACTGATTTGACATTAAAATTAAAAATTTTTTTAGTTTAGTATTTCTTTTAATTTCTTTTGACCTCCACAAATTCCCTAGTGCTATGAAAGCTCCTCTTGCCTTTTGTATTCTTATTTTAATATCTCTATCAGATCCTCCATCTTTATCTACATTACTGCCCAAATAGGTGTACGACTCCACGTCTTGGAGTGGGGTGCCATTAAGAGAAACCACATTACTATTTGCCTGATTTATTCTCATTATCTTTGTCTTTCCTTTATGGATTTTCAGACCAAGCTGCTGTGATCTCGCATTAAGTATATTTAATTTATCTTGTATCTGATTCCGTGAATGGGACAGAAGGGCAATATCATCAGCGAAGTCCAGATCATCAATCTGTTTTGTAGGGGTCCACTGAATTCCATTCTTGGTGTTAGCAGTTACTGTTTTCATAGTCCAGTCTATAGCCAGTAAAAATAGAAGAGGCGACAAAAGACATCCCTGTCGCACACCTGTTTTTATTTCAAATGCATCTGTTAGCTTTCCCTCATGAAGAACTCGACATTTCATGTCTTTATATGTTGCCTTTACTAAGTTGATAATTTTCTGTGGGATTCCATAGTGCCCCATCAATTTCCAGAGAGATTCCCTATCAATGCTGTCAAATGCTTTCTCATAGTCTATAAATCCAATGTAAAGTGGTGAGTTCAGTTCAATGCTTTGCTCTATTATAATACGTAATGTGGCTATCTGATCAGTACAGGATCTGTTTGACCGAAAACCTGCCTGCTCATCTCTTAGCATTTTATCAATAGCATCTTTTAATCTTTCCAAAATAATTCTACTTAATATTTTTCCAGGAACTGACAGCAACATAATTCCTCTATAGTTTTCACACTCCTGTAGATCACCTTTTTTTGGGCAGTTTCACAAGATATCCTTCTCTCCAGTCTGCTGGTATTTCTTCGGTCTCCCAGACTTTACTGAATAATCTATGTAGCAATTCTGTTGATGTGTTTATGTTGGTCCTGATGGCTTCAGCTGGGATACCATCTGGGCCTGACGCCTTTCCTTCCTTAAGAAGATTTATAGCTTTTCTAATTTCCTCTTTGGATGGTATCTCACAGTTGATATCCAGTTCCATTTCTAAAGGCTGGATATCTGGGGGAACCTCTGGGCCTGGTCTATTTAGAAGCATTTCAAAATATTCAACCCATCTGTCCATTTGATCTTTAGTGTTAGTAAGTACCTTTCCTTGACTATTTTGATTGATCCAGTTGGCTGACTATATTTACCTACTAATTTTCTTGTGTTACTGTAAAGTTCTCTGAGGTTTCCTTTTGCTGCTGCTGTCTCCGCTTCTTGTGCTAGATCATTTAGATATTTCACTTTATCTGCCCTTATATGCCTCCTAACTTCCTTGTTGGCTTCTGTGTAATTCTCCTGAGCTCTAGCTTTAGCAGCTCTAGTTTTGCTATTGTTTAATTCTGCCTTTTTACTTTTCCTATCTTCAATCAGTTTAATGGTTTCTGGTGTTATCCATGCTTTATGTTTCCTTTCTTTCTTGCCAAGAACTTCTACGCAAGATTCATTCCAGATTCCTTTGATCTGATCCCAGCAGACTTCTGTGTTGACATCTTCAGCTAACTGCTGCAACACCTGGTACTTATTAGAGACCGTAACTGAGAACTGTTCCTTAATTTCTTTATCTCTGAGAAAGCCTACATTATATTGGTTTCTATGATTATAAGATGTTATATATCTTTTTAGTTTCAACTTGATTTTACTTATCACCAGGAAATGGTCAGTAAATACATCGGCACCTCTGAAAGCCCTAACATCGTAAAGGGATGATCTAAACTTTTTGTTAATACATATGTGGTCAATTTGATTAGTTGTCTTATGGTCTGGTGATTCCCATGTTGCCTTGTGTATTCTTTTATGGGGAAAAAAATAAGTATATCAGTCTATCCCAGTATATCTGTCTAGCCCAGTATATCAGTCTAGCCCAGTATGTCAGCCTAGCCCAGTATGTCAGCCTAGCCGAGTATATCAGCCTAGCCCAGTATATCAGCCTAGCCCAGTATATCAGCCTAGCCCAGTATATATGCCTAGCCCAGTATATATGTCTAGCCCAGTATATCAGTCTAGCCCAGTATATCAGCCTAGCCCAGTATATCAGCCTAGCCCAGTATATCAGCCTAGCCCAGTATATCAGTCTAGCCCAGTATATCAGTCTAGCCCAGTATATCAATCTAGCCCAGTATATCAGTCTAGCCCAGTATATCAGTCTAGCCCAGTATATCAGTCTAGCCCAGTATATCAATCTAGCCCAGTATATCAGTCTAGCTCAGTATATCAGTCTAGCCCAGTATATCAGTCTAGCCCAGTATATCACTTTAGCCCAGTATATCAGTCTATCCCAGTATATCAGTCTAGCCCAGTATATCAATCTAGCCCAGTATATCAGTCTAGCCCAGTATATCAATCTAGCCCAGTATATCAATCTATCCCAGTATATCAATCTAGCCCAGTATATCAATCTATCCCAGTATATCAGTCTAGCCCAGTATATCAGTCTAGCCCAGTATATCAGTCTAGCCCAGTATATAAATCTAGCCCAGTATATCTGTCTAGCCCAGTATATCAGTCTAGCCCACTATATCAGTCTAGCCCAGTATATCAGTCTATCCCAGTATATCAATCTATCCCAGTTTATCAGTCTAGCCCAGTATATCAATCTAGCCCAGTATATCTGTCTAGCCCAGTATATCTGTCTAGCCCAGTATATCAGTCTAGCCCAGTATATCTGCCTAGTCCAGTATATCTGTCTAGCCCACTATATCTGCCTAGCCCAGTATATCTGTCTAGCCCACTATATCTGTCTAGCCCACTATATATGTCTAGCCCACTATATCTGTCTAGCCCAGTATATCTGAAGGCGTGGAAAAGGGTCTTTTACTTTTTAAAATTTTTAAATTTCAAAATCGGAAAGTTGCCATTATCATCTTCACCTCCATTGTTATTCTGGATGTTATGAAGTCTTCTTCTTCTTTTTTCTGATTTTGCCCTGAAATGGACGGTTGGCACATAGTGTTTACAGCTAGGCTGCAATATCTGTGACTTCCGGCCCAAAACATCCTATTTCAGCACAGCCCTGATCAGTCGCCTTTCATCACACAATTATTAAACAGCAGTGGACCTATTTGTTAGTTTCCCATCCAAATGGAACCCTGGAACTCAAACAGGGAGTTACAATGTAATGCCTGAGGGCCCTATCCCTTTAAGCTATGTCCACGGATATATTTAGTGGTCTCAAACAGGATCTCACATTAAAGTGATTAAACCATGGGCTTCCTGGTTTGAATGTTGAAGATTGAATTTCTGAGCCATTCTAGTTTCTAAAGAGCGTGTGTTTTGGAGATCACCGGGGATATCCATGAAGCTATGATATTTCATGCACTATGTGACACAGGGTGGTGGGATAAAGTAAAACCTTATAAGGAAACCCCTACCAACATATGTAAAAAGCCTTCTTTACTCTTCTAGAATGCAGAATAAGGGTACTCCTCAAGGGCTAGGGTAGAGTACCCACTTAGACCACTATCAGGATAATGTGAAGTCATGGCAGGCAGGATTAGGATAAAAGTTGTGAGCAGCTGAACAGTTGTCAGTGCTGTCACCACTTTATCTGGGCAGAGAATGCCACTATAGGCACAATGGCTAGGACAACCTGCCCAATATAGGTACTTCTCTCACAGAAAGAAAACTGCAGCCTACTGTGAGTGTTGAGTGTGGGGATTAAGGAACAAAATACCATCTGTACACAAACTGAGCAGCGGGGATGTGGTTTCATAGACAAATTATGAGAACACTGGGGACAAAGATGAATTATAAGAAAATCCTGGACAGATTAAATTATTTAAAAGAAAAACAAAAGCAACAACAAATAAAGGATTAGAAGATAAAAGAAACTGACTCAGGAAGAGAACTGACTGCCCACATCAGAAGGAAATAATCAACATTCTTTCATCATATCATGAGAAGAAAACTGGAGTACATCATGACAGTGGGAAAGCTGGAGTGGAAAAGAAGCACACACACACACACACACACACACAGAGATAGAGAGAGAGAGAGAAAGAGAGAGAGAGAAAGAGAGAGAGAGAGAAAGAGAGAGAGAGAGAGAGAGAGAGAGAGAGAGAGAGAGAGAGAAAGAGATAGAAGAATGCAGACAGCCTGAACACATGGTATGGAAGATCATCTGTGTCAGAAGTGATTAAAAGTACACAAGAGAAGACTGTGGGTAAAAATTACTACCAACGCCACACGGCACAGACCATGGGAAGAAAGTGATGACTTCAAAGGGCAAAGAGCTGCTCTACAGCGAGAGACCGACCTACATGATATTACATGATGCAATGAACTCGATCCTCTTGGTCTGGACAAACAAAACAGAATTCTGTAGAAGAACAGCACATGAACATAAACAGTTTACAATAAATGGTATTAACAAGCTCACCAAGAAAAGTACTGAGATCATCGGTTGTGTTCGCTGCGGTCATGGCTGTTCTCACACTGTTCTGTCGTCGCTGCTGGGCCTGGTGAAGCTCTTGGATTTGGTTGTGGATGTCCAGTACATGCAAGAATAAACTGTCTGTCGACTGACCAACATAAAACATTCAAGTTATGTGAGAAATAATTAGTAACATGAAAAAAGGAAAGTTTGAAGAGACCAGGGGAGACTGTAATGACACTATCACAAGATAAGGATACCGTCTGTATACACTGTGTTATTCATAACTGCCAACATTCAAAATGACAACTAACGTGGTGGTGTGAATTGTAGATTCAGAAAATGGCGTGATGCCTGTGATGCAATGTTGGCGGTGCCCGTATCTGGTTAAAATTGATCGCGTGGACAACTGCTGAACTGTTGGCGACAAGTTCTGCTATCATCAATGATGAACTGCATTTCTAATGTTGGACTGTTTGTGTTAGCACTTCGGATAGCTACCGTATGCTTTAATGCGAGTGTATACTAGATATGCTGAGACAGCAGTCTGTCAATCTTTCCACAAGGGACTGTGATAAACATTCTGGGTGTTTTTCGTTGGCACAGGAGTGGAGCAAAGATGGGGCGACCCGTTGCTATGAAGCTGAAACTAAGACTACCAGACAATACACTATCCTAACAATCAACCCTGAATACAACATACTCTTTCGACAACCAACTGAACACAATATACCCTAACAACAACCAACCTTAAACACAACAGCTACCCCAACAACCAACCTTAAACACAACAGCTACCCCAACAACCAACCTTAAACACAACAGCTACCCCAACAACCAACCTTAAACACAACAGCTACCCCAACAACCAACCTAAAATATAACACAAGAAACATTTTCAACAACAATCAACCTAGAGCACAACACACTTCCAACAAACACGATTGAACATAACAGGCTCCAACAAACACGATTGAACATAACAGGCTCCAACAAACACGATTGAACATAACAGGCTCCAACAAACACGATTGAACATAACAGGCTCCAACAAACAAGCAGATTTGAAAATAACACACTTACAGCTTTGAATATAACATATTTCCAACAATTAAGATTAAACACAATCAACTGCAACAACCAAGACTGAATATAACACACCCCGATAACAACAATAATTTTTAACACAACGCACTTTGAAAAACTAAGACTGACAAAACATACTCCAACAACAACCAAGTTTGAACACAACACACTTCTAACAAACAAGAAAGAACACAATGCACTACAATAACCAGCCTTAAATACTGGACACTTTCAACAACCAAAAGTAAACACAATGTACAACAACCACCTCAAATACAACAAACTTCCAACAACTCAGACTGAACACAAGAGACTCCAATAACTACCAATTTTGAAAACATAGCTCTACACCAATAACCAACCTTAAATGCAGGAAAGCCAACAGCTGTGCGAATATCTGTGTACATGTGGAGTTTCTCATGGGCGAGTGGGTGGATGGACGGGGCGATGGACAGGTCAAGCACACACTGGCGAGTATTGCTGAAATCATACAGTAACACATACATTACTCTCAACATAATAATTTCCACTGTTACTGAACTGACGTATGACAAGCTAGACATTGTGAGGGCTCTTTGAGAGCAAGTGAACTGTGCAGTGCCAGAAATCAATAATTACAGTCTTATGAGAATGGCGCTGTGAGGAGTTACCAAGGACCAGAGGATCTGGCCAATGCTCAGCATTCAGTGGAAAAGCAAGACTGATATATAATCAGACAGTTACTGGTGCTTTCAGAATTAAAACTCTTCACTTTGCTGCCGAAGATGGTGATGGAGTGTCCCGAGTGCTGTGATGTTGATTATTAATTCAACATTCAATTTCCAGCTTCCTTCGTTCACCTGAAATAAGCTGTCTATATCTGCAATATTTTTTTAAAGTTCATTCAGTGGTCCATTGTTTACTTTTCAATGTTGTTCTTTTTGGTAATCTGGTAATCCTAGTTTCAGCTTCATAGCAAACGGGTCACCCCCATAGTTGCTCCGTGACTCAAGGATTCACTTATATCCTGTGCCCATCTCCATGTTGGTCAGCCCCTGCCCCTCCTTCCTGGTACCATGCCTTCTGCTTTTATTTTTCCAATCCGTTGTGGCACATGATAGTGTTTAAAAATTTTTTTTTTTGTAGACTTGGTGGTAGAGGGGAGCCAACTGAAGTACTGTCTGGGAGACTGGGAGAGACAGTGTAAAGATGGACAGATAAAGGTAGAGAAAAGGGAAAGAGAGAGACGGGGGAAAGGAAGGAAAAAAAGATTATATTAAGAGGGAGAGATAGAGACATGATGATGGAAATTGGGAAAGGAACAGAGAAAGACAGAGAGGGAGACAAATACAGAAAGAGGGAATGCAGATATAGAAATGGGCAGATGAAGATAGAAGGAAGAAGGGAAAGAAACAGAGATATGGAAGGAGGAATAATATGACAAGGAAAGTTGGAGGAAGGGAGACAGAGGGATGGAGAAGGGACAGGGAGAGAGGGAGAACCAAGGAAAGAGAAAAAAGACAGAGCAGGAGAATAGGAGGGAGGTATACAAAGAGGAAATGATTAAGGAAGGCAAACAGACATAAAGCAAGAGAGAGGGAGAGAGAGATGGGGGAGGAAGGCAGTGACAAACACAGATAAAGAGAGAGGCAGGAAGGGAGACAAGATTGAGAGTAAAAAAAAAAAAAAAAGGAAAAAATAGGCTTCCCCCCCCCCTTTTTCCCGATGAGAGAGGGGAGTTTAAAGAAATCTAGAGAAAATGAGACAAAATGGAGAGGACGCAAAGAAGAGATGGGAGATTGATACCCACCTACACACACATACATACAAACATACATATACACACCCACAGAAACTAGAGAATGAAAGAGAGAGAGAGAGAGAGAGAGAGAGAGAGAGAGAGAGAGAGAGAGAGAGAGAGAGAGAGAGAGAGAGAGAGAGAGAGAGAGAGAGAGAGAGAGAGAGAGAGAGAGATGTGCACACTCACACACACACAAAAGAATGAGTACCTGTCTAAAGACACTGTTACAAAACAAGATATATCCAGAGAATCAAACTTCATCAGTTCCGAAATGAAGCTGTTCTTCAAACCGTCTGTCAAGCGATGAACTTGGGCAGCATGGGAGCTCATGGATCGTGACAGGATGTAGCTCATCACCTGGGGCAAAAACAACATTACCAGAGTCAGTAATGAGGTCACACATGCTGTGTACTGTGTGGGGGAAGTTTTCCTGTTTTGTTTACACTCAGACCTCCTGGTTCACATCTCTAAAAGTAAACATTTTCCAGCTCATTATAGTTCTGGTGTGAGTTTCAGAGTTTATGGGAGTGGGAAAAAGGGGGGGGGGGGGAGGGGGGGGGGAGAGCTACTGGTTTTCAACAAGCATGTTGTAAAAGGCTACTAATTAAGGTTTTTAAGAGTTCTGCTAAAACTGGATGTGTCTGGGTGGAAAAACAGATAGCACAGCCTAACTGTAAACCATAATACAATGCAATAACCACCTTTTTAACAGTGAACACAGATAAAATATTATCTCAGAATGCAAGAACAGCAAGTCAAAGGGTCAGGCCAGATTGGAGCGCCCTATTCAGGGTGCCTTAGAAAAATGGTCAACCATAAGAAAATTGGTATCTGTCACAATACAAGGGAAAATAAGGGGGGGGGGGGGGGGGGAGAAGGAGGATTTAACTGAGCAATCGGAGCACCGATGGAGTGAACAGTTTAATGTGCAGTGAAGACGTAGTGTGGAATGTCTATTATTCCCATATATCGGTTAGAAAGATCAATTCACTGATGCCATATTTGTTTCTGTTCACAATTGTAAAATGAGAAAAACTAGAAAGTAACAGTCTGTCACAGGCCTGCCGAGTGTAAGAGACACAATGTTGGCAATTCATTGCAGTAAACTTTCAATGTGGAGATGGCACCTAATTTACTTACATGTATGACACCCCTCTGACCATCACACACATACTTTGTCACTGGGAGAATTGATTCTGACAGAGTTGAAAATTTGTTTAAGACAAAAATTAACTTTAGAAACTATAATTTTTCTCTCACCTGTTTTTTCTGAGAGTCAAGTTTCACTGGAGCTTGCGCGTTCTGTCTGGCCAAAGTACTGATAATATTCTGCTTCTTTTCCTTAAAGAAACAAAAAATATTATTAGCTCACTACGCTCCCAATAAATTTCAAAATGTGACACAATTCTCACTTCAGGACAAATTAAAAATGTCAATTATTAGCTTGTTTAAAGGGAGTTTATGAAAGGAACAATACAGAGTACAGTCAAACAAGAGGTTGAACATGATATTGGTTTAGGATGGAATACAAAATGAACAAATTTGATAAAAGTTAAAATAAAAAAAAAAAAGGAAAAATGGAAAATACTTGCAGTGAAGCCAGAAGGCCAAATGAACAAACAACTGACCAACAAACTTTTATTTTCAAAATGTTAAGAACTGGGCAACATTTGGTAATGAGGTGAACAGACATAAAAAGACAGACGAATAATAAGTGAGGGACATGTAGTTAGTTGCCAACAGTGGCAAAGGATACAGTCACCTGGATGGAAGCTTATGCTCCAGTAGGTTTCAAAGGGAAGCAGCATAAGAAAATATCACTGGGCTTTCTCTAGGATGGCAAAACAGATGGAAACATCTTTGCATTCACAGGCTGTAGAATCCACAGAAAGTCCTGGTTGTTTGTCCACTTCAGGACTTTGGTCATGTTCCAGGTCTTTAGTTTTCCATCTGTTCTATAGATCTGGCTGTTTTGTGTGGAGAGCGCTGGCTCGTCGCCTCTAAGGCAGACACACTCCGACTTTGAAAAAATTTTGATCATATTTATGTTGGTAGGCTTCTGTTTTGAGGATGACCAGAAAAGGTGTAGACAGGTTCTGACTAGTACAAGCCAAGGTATTGGTGCCCCACCATCATCACGTGAGGTTCAGCACCTTCACAACCTAAAACAAACAAGTAAACATCAAACTGGGAACAAAGAGAAACCGTATCTTACAACAAGTCCTCTAAAGTCTTGAATCTTCTCGTACTTCAGATGAAGCTCTTGTCTTTCTTGTTTGGCTTTTGCAATTTTGTTCTTGAGACTGCAAGCTTCTGCCTTCAGACATGGCAGTACTGATCTCTCTTCAGCAAGCTGGATTTGAGCATCAATGTAACTGCTGTGTGAGAAAATAAGTTTGGCAATGCTGACTTCATTATTTCTTTCTCTAAGGGAGTTTAGATATTTAATTTAGTTTTCTGTTGTGGATGGGTGTGTGTGTTGCAGATATTTGTTTTCGTTTTAAGGCTGCAGACATTTCTCTGATGGGGTCTTAATATATATTTTTGTGTTGTTGTTTTTAATTTCTTTCTCTGTTAGCTGGGATTCAGAAACATCTAAATCTCCCAATTAAGGGCTTGGCCACAAGGCTAGAACATCACTGACCCGATCATGGATTCTGATGATCAAGTGAGACAGTGAAACATTACCACCTATGTCTCACCAGGGCACCTGATGATGATTATGACATCTCAGAACACTGAAAGGTTTCTGTGAATATTTCAACAGAGAAGGAATTTGGGTTTGCATGCACCTCAGAACACTGAAAGGCTTCTGTGAATATTTCAACAGAGAAGGAATTTGGTTTTGCATGCATCTATGTATTATGTATTTTGTACATACAAATGTATGTGAATGACAGGTTTTCACATCTTTAATCCCAATTTGCATGTGGAGCTTGTCACTTATTTTTCCAGACCAGTCTGCACTCATCGAGCACTGCCTCTTTATCACGTTGACTACCTTTGCTCCATTTCCTGGTTCCCATGTGTGAGCCGACAGAGGCTGCCAATCAAACAGTCAACAACAACTTATGATCCAACAACACGCACTGTTACTGGAATTATGATCATGATGATTTTAGGCAAATCAATTTAATGAAGCACCGTTAAAAAGATTTTGAGCATATGACAACAATATCAGTTGGCAACCATGCTAGTAACTGGATTGCCGCAACTACTACATATTAAATATGAAGAGGCTTCAAATGAAAACCTTAAATTTGTTGACAATAACCATGCCGTTGTATTATAACCTGTCAGAATTGTTGTTAAGTATGTCAAGAGTATTAACAAAACAATGACAGTTTAAAGATGGTCGACCCACTTTTGACATGCACACAGGTCTAGCAGCATATACCTGATGCACCAATGGCATAAAAAAAGGTCCTTTACTTTACTTTACTTATTTACTTTTGTCATGGCATGAAAAGGTGCCAGATGTCAGCAATGACTGGAGACTGACTGTGGAGAAATGTGACTACCCATGCTAGCTGGCAATTCATTTTAAGATGATGAATCTTACTTGGCCAACTGAACACAGCGGGGCTGGTCTCCTATGAGTCTCTGAACTTGCTTGCGGATGTCCATCATGATATCGTCGAGCTGAGCTGTGAGTTTCCACTGTTCATTGATCTTCTCTTGTTCATGGAACCAGCGCATCACATGCTGTTCATTGCCAGCCTGAGCAACAGAGGACACTTAATAACTCTGGTACTACTACCAGCATCCAGACTTTAACCCTTTTGTCTCGCGAATGTAAAAAAAAAGTAAAAAGCATTAGGAACCCATTGTAATTATCAAGAAAATCCTTAAAAATAAAACAACTATTTTATACAGGTAACTAATAAATTGTTTAAATTTAGTTGTACATATGTTTAAAAATTTTTGTTTTGAAATATGTGAGCCTATACAAAGGGTATAAAAGGAGTAATCAATAGACAAGATGGAGTGAAGCACTAAATGGAATGCATTCCTCGGGTGACTCATGCCATGACCCTGTAACCTTTATCACTGAGGCTTATGTGAAAATGTAAAGTCAACTTGGCTATAAAAAAAGCTAATGGGTTTAAAGGGAAACCCCTATGAATGCTATAATTAGTTAATATATTCACATCTGAGCCTTCTAAACACTACGCAGGTGCACAGAGAACCAATGGCATTTAATGATGATTTTCCAGAACAGGTCACTGTTTTGTGTGACACTCTGAGCAGGCAGTCAGACATTCTATGGCAGAAGCCAAGCAATCTGGAATAAAACTGTAGTAAAGTTGATTGAAGTTACCGCCCATGTCTCACTAGGGCACCTTATGATGATTTTGACATCTCAGAACACTAAAAGGCTTCTGTGAATATTTCAACAGAGAAGGAATTTGGGTTTGCATGCATCTATGTATTATGTATTTTTTACATACGAATGTATGTGAATGACAGGTTTTCACATCTTTAATCCCAATTTGCACGTGGAGCTTGTCACTTATTTTTACAGACAAGTCTGCACTCATCGAGCACTGCCTCTTTATCATGTTGACTACCTTTGCTCTATTTCCTGGTTCTCACGTGTGAGCCGAAAGGTCTTTAAAACCTGCCTGATCTTGTAATTCTATACATCAGAGGGGATATTCCGGATATCAAATTCCAACGGTTGAGTTAAAATACATAAATTCTTACGAGCAATAGTTCTTGAACACTTTTCTGTACAGATGGAGGAGAAGACATGTCACGAAGGCCATCCTTTGCGTCATATGAAAAACTGAAAGAACCAAGAAAAAAATATCTGATTTTCACTATATCCTTTTTTTCCCCTCCTGAAACTGACTTGAACAATTTTAAATTATGTTCTTTTAAGTGTGTGCATTAACTAAGCTACTGTAAATTCACAGTTTGGGACTAAATGTTTCAAGCACACAACATAATCAAACAGAATAGCAAAATCAAAACACATTAAACAGACAGTTAAAACAGATTCAACTTCTCCTCTTTCTCCAGTTTTTTCACTGAAGTGTTCTGGACCCACAGATCTTTTGTGTTCTCTATCTAAGACATTGAACAGGTTAATCCTAACATCTCTAAGGCTGTTCTTAATGTTGTCATTCTGTATCGGTGAGGTCTTCCCCTTGCTCTGTGTTCATTATATTTCTTCACCATGGCTCTCTGTGGCAGCTGGTACCAGGGCATTTTTGTCAGATGGCCAAACCATCTCATCTGTGGATCTTAACTGAACTGTATGACTAGTTTCAGAAGTACTTGGCAGATGGCCAAACCATCTCATCTGTGGCTCTTAACTGAACTGTATGACTAGTTTCAGAAGTAGTCTTATGTCTTCATTTTAAATGTTGTTGTTAGTCTGGCAGCTCTTTTAACACATCTGATCTCTGTTATGATTTTAAGTTTATAAGTTGTAATAAGGGCTCCTGTTTGACACAGGTATAAAGTAAGCTCCCCCCCTCCCCCCAAAAAATCCCTATTAAATTTCTGTGTCAAAAATGGTGTTAGTTGTCACAGTACCTGATATGCTTTTTATCATATGTTGATTTAAAAATTTTTTTCTACCTTTCCTTCCGATGTTAAAATTTACCCTACATATTTAAACAGACCAACAAGAGAGAACAACATAAAAGTAACATAATTATAGACTAGAGCAGTCTTTCCTTGAGGTGATCAGTGGAACAAGTTTAAGGGGTTCATGACTGAATTTATAAAAAAACTCTCAACTGTAAAGTGCAATCCTTTCTGCCATTCTACTATTTATGAATGATATATTCTTCACAAAGCAGCTGATAAATGCACCATTCGTACCAACTTTGTGCTATCAGTGCCAGTCCTAGAAAAATATAAACAAAAAATTACAACATGTAAAATGAAATGTACAAGAAATCCGGTGGGAAAAAACATGAAGAGACAGAGTCACCAATGAAGAACTAAGAACAGTAGCAGGCACAGTATCGGAGAATGATTTCACTGAACATCAAGAAACAAATGGTTTGGCCATCTGGTCTGAATGGAAAATTCAGCCAATAGCTAAAGCGTAGTACATGAGAACAGCAGGCTACAGCTAGAGGCTGACCCAGAAAGATATGGATGGAGGGAGTAAAAGAAACGCTACTAAAAGGCAATATGAACTGACACAAGCTAGGCAACTGACAAAAGACACACAACAACATATAACTCCGCTCTATGACATTTTGTGGCATAAGCACTAGGAAAAAAAGATGAAGAGGAAGAATAAGTTCTTCAATATGACAATTAAAAGTATGGAGTTCGTAGCTGACCTTTGAAAGCATAAGAAGCCAAAAAGTCAGTAAACTGGGAACCACTAGAGCAGAAGAGTGGTTGCCTAGTGGTTAACAGTTATGGGCTCTTATTCACGAGATCCAGGTTCGACTCCTCTGTAGTGATGGATTTAAAAAAATAAATATTTGATCAAAAACAAAACTGTCCCCTGCAATAACCTGCAGTCCGTGACGACTGCACTAGCCATGCAGACCCACATCCTCAGCAACTACCTGCAGTCCGTGATGACTGCACTAGTCATGCAGCCCTACATCCTCGGCAACAACCTGCAGTCCGTGACGACTGCACTAGTCATGCAGCCCTACATCCTCGGCAACCACCTGCAGTCCGTGACGACTGCACTAGCCATGCAGCCCTACATCCTCAGCAACAACCTGCAGTCCGTGACGACAGCACTAGCCAGCCATGAAGCCCTACATCCTCAGCAACAACCTCCAGTCCGTGACGACAGCACTAGCCATGCAGCCCTACATCCTCCGCAACAACCTGCAGTCCGTGACGACTGCACTAGTCATGCAGCCCTACATCCTTGGCAAAAACCTGCAGTCCGTGACGACAGCACTAGCCAGCCATGCAGCCCTACATCCTTGGCAAAAACCTGCAGTCCGTGACAACTGCACCAGTCATGCAGCCCTACATCCTTGGCAAAAACCTGCAGTCCGTGACGACAGCACTAGCCAGCCATGCAGCCCTACATCCTTGGCAAAAACCTGCAGTCCGTGACGACAGCACTAGCCAGCCATGCAGCCCTACATCTTTGGCAAAAACCTGCAGTCCGTGACGACAGCAGCCCTACATCCTTTGCAACAAAACAGCCCTGTCCTACACTGTCACAAACAGCTTTTGTCTGTGGTTCAGGTGATGTGAACCCACTTTGTAATACCAAGATGTAGGTTCAATCCTAGCTACAGGCAATTTGGCAGCAGACTGCCTTGCGTTGGTTTTGACAGTGGTATCGGAAGCAAAGCATTCAGAAAGCAATGGCACACCACTGAACATAAAATTGCTTAATAAAATCACAAACAGCAACAACAACAAAAAAAGGGTTGGTTCTGCTAGCTCCTGTAAAGGACACTCAACTAAAAGGGTTTATAAAATAAAAATCACAGAGTATGAACTGACCTGAGGGCTTCTGCATCTTTGGCGATGCTGATCTGCTGAGTTCTTTCCTGAAGCTCCTTGGATGTATAGTTGATGTTAGTGACCAGAGCCGAGACAAGAGAGCTTATGTTGTGAGCAGAAGCTACTGCTTCGATCTTCTCCGCCAGCTGCTTCTGAGCATTTTCTCTGGTAGAGAAATATTAGCAATGGTAGTTCCATAGTGGTGGGGGGGCCTGTGTTTCATAGTAGTTCCTCAGTGGTCGGGGAGCTTGTGTTTCTCAATGATCCTGTGAGGTTTGCTGGCGGTAGCTTTACTACCAGCAGGGCCTTCCCAGCCAGACAGGTCAAAAGGTAGAGAACAAAGAGAGACACCTTGGTTCTCTATATGGGGAGGGGTACTGGGGTATTGAAGCATGGGACCAACACCATCACCTAGGTAAAACCTCACTTTGTCATGAAACATAGTACACAACAAACCAATGATTTTTCTGGGTCATTCTAAAAATAATATACTGTTTTTGCTACCTTCTATTACAGACAGAAGCTATATTAACCCTTTGTACATGAATTATTAGTTATGTTACTGCTATCCTATAGTGTCTATTGAACTTCATATGTAAATATGCATTGCTTTTAAGCTCATCTACTTACAGTAACTAGGTTTGGAACTAAAAGAGATATGAGGTGAGGTGGTTAGTTCTTATCTTCTTCCCCTTCTCTCTACTTCTGGGTGCCTCAATGCATCAGGGCAGGAAGAGATCTAAGGAATGGGCCTTTCTGTTCGCTTTATATATAAACTTTTCAGTGTCTTCGATATTTTATGCTGTCCATAATTTGTGTGGTCAACTTCTGGCTCTGTTACCGTTGTTTCTGTATAACACTGTTCTCCGTGGTGCCCTGTCTGGTGCCAATCTTGTTACATGGCTAAACTATTTGATCTGTTGTCTACCAATAAAGTTCAGTACTGGTTCTGTACTGACTCTTACCCTGATATCATCATTCCCCTTGTCTTTCTAGAAAAATCCCACTCCAATTTTTCAGAGGCTGTCAACCCCACCGCCATATTAGGCATACACACATCCTGCCTCTGCTGATGATCCTACCATCTTGGCAGGAAAGTGCCCTAAAAATTATATCACCACAATATCAGATGTCTATTTTCATGTGTAGGTTTCAGGGCCCCAAATTAAGGGGGAAGGGGGTGGGGGGAGAGAATAGACCCACTGTCCTCTAGCAAGCATGTTGTAAAGGTAAAAGTTTCTTAAACTGGATACATGTTTTGGGCTTTAAAGGGACAGATATCACAGTCTAGCTGTAAATCACAAAACAAGGTGCCATATGCCCTTGTAAGGTCGAACGAAGAAGATTGATATCAGCTTTGTAAAAAACAGATATCAAGGAAAGTAAGTGTAGAACAAATGAACTGTGCAGTGTTACTGGAATTTTCAACATCTATCCTTGCAACATCTGCTGAGGAAGATGGAGCTTTTGACTTGAGTGCTGTCAAGTCAATTGTTAGTAACCACTGACAAATTAAGGACTCCTGTTTATATACACCAGTCGCAGATAAGATGGCAGGCTCATATGTTTATAGACCAATCTACACTCAAGGGGATGACGTGGTCAACAGATGTCTTTACTTCTCAGGAGATTACCTGGTACCCACTGTAGGCTAGGTCGACCTAAGAGATGAGTCTAATTATGAACAAATTAGCAGAGCTGGCAGGCTAGCATCTAATCACTACCCTACTGTAGCTTTCTAACCACTAACAAGGAAAGGCAGAATTCAATTCAAAGACAAACAAACAGAAGACAACATGTCTAATAATGTGGATGTGGTTAAAGAAGATGGATTCTAGTGCTATAAATAAAAGTAAAGTAAAGAATTCTGCGCAGAATAGAGGGAATTAAATGGTATGATAGAATAACTAATGTAGAACTTTGGGAGAGAACTAAACAGGCTCCAGTGGACCAAGAGGTGAGGAAAAGACGCTGGCATTGGATAGGACACACACTGAGAAAACAGGAGAACAGCATAACTAGAATGTCTTTGCATTGGAACCCAAAGGGGCATAGGAATAAAGGAAGGCCAAAAAACACATGGAGAAGAGAGCTGAAGAATGAAGTTAGAAAGATTGGGAGGACATGGAGAGAGCTCCATGCAATGGCAAAGGATAGAACGACTTGGCGTGAGTTTTGGTTGAGGGCCTATGCTCCATTGGGGGATAGAAAGGCAGAAGAAGAAGAAGAAAGGATTCTCTTCCACACCTTCAGGTGTACTGGCTGCCTAGGCCAAGACTTATACTCTATAGCCCAAACGGCTCTATGTGGGGGATGTGGTCAGCATCACGCCAACCACCTTTACTTCCCAGGACTTTATCTGGGACCCTTTTAAGGCTGTAAATATAGATAATGATAAACTGTCAGTCCCCTGAACACAAGACAAACATCTGAAAGAGACATCACAGTTTTTTTGGACCATGTTATGAGAAGAGGAAAAGTGGAACATGGGATGACTGGAACAATTTGTGGAAAGAGAGATAGAGAAAGACAGTATGAGAAGATGACTGATAGACTTTTGTTACAGCATGGTCAGGTGTCAGCCCATGAACTAATACACTGTAAACACACTGTTGGAGATCGCAGACTGTAGAGGCATGATCGCCTCTGCCAGTCAGCAAGAAACCTGATAATGATGATACGGTGTTCCTACAGTTTTTAAAAATTTCAACAACAAAAAAATTTATTTTAAAAATCAATCAATGAAAAGCTAATTTTGTACACATGAGTTAGAAAGGGAATGCAAGAGAATATTAATAACAACCTTGTGCTTTCACAGATGTCTAGAAATATGTCAGGAATAAATTATAAAGAATGTATTTGATTTGGTCTGTATCACACCAGTTATGTTTACTCCTAAGAATATTTCCTCCCACCTATTTTAGACTCGGACAACTTGGCACCATGGTCTAATAAAAAAAAAAAAAAAAAAAAAAAAAAAAAAAAAAAAAAAAAAAAAAAAAATATATATATATATATATACAAATTAAACAAAAAGGATCCCTTTTTACACCTTAGGTGCATCGGGCATATGGGAAGAGCATCCACTATTTTTACAGACCATTCGGCACTAGGTGGGTAATGTGGTTATCATTACGCCAGCCGTCTTTACTTCCCCAGGACAGCCATCCTGGTACCCATTATAGGATGGGTCAACGCCCCGTGCCATGATAAAAACCCACGCATATATATATATACACACACACACAGTAAAAATACCACACTTTTTTAAAAACACATTTCGATACATATCCTGCACTGCTAAGAAACAACTATAACCACAGATGGAGTTATGTTTGTAATGGGGCATTGGGGATATGTTTATCTTCCCTATGTATGCAAACTTATGGGATACACTATTAATAAAAAAAAAAAAACAACATAAACTTACAGAGTAGTTTTGTCTCCAAATGAGCCATCAATGATTCTGTGCAGAAACTCCTCAATAACTTCACATGCGAGGCGCACATCCCGCTTAGAATGAAAAATTTTATATATTAAAAAAAAAAAAGGTTAAGGAATATTCACTGCTTTATCTTCTTTGTGAAGATCTTGCAACTACTAGTTTGTGTCCAAGAATTTACCAAGTTAACTGTAAGTGTTATTACGAGCCGTCACCTTACATCCTACTGAAGCATGTTTCCTGCCATGTATCCAGTTTCTCAGTTTGCAGAGTAGTAAGAGATAAAACTAAAAATGAAGAAATTAGAAGAAGACTAGTAATGAAACCGGTCTTACAGTTCGTTAAAGAGCAACAGATGAGATAGTTTGGCTATCTGATGAGAACCCCCTAGACCAGTGGTTCTCAACTTTTGGGTCGTGACCATTTTTTTTGGGTCAAACAACCCTTTCACAGGGGTCGCCAATGACCATCGCAAAACAAACATTCACTGAAGTTATGAAAAAGCGATGAAAATAATTGTATGGAATATGAGGAACAGTACAAAAGGATCACCACATTATGAGGAACAGTACTAAAGGAGGTAACAAGGCAGATGGAGAGAGAGAGAAAGAGAGAGAGAGAGAGAGAGAGAGAGAGAGAGAGAGAGAGAGACAGAGACACAGAGAGAGAGAGACACACACAGAGAGAGAGAGAGAGAGATCATGCTACATGGTCAACACCTAGCCTCTATAATAATACCTAGGGTTTGAGCTATGTTGAGGAGAACTTCATCCCTGGACTTTACTGGTACCACCACACACAGTGATTGCTTTCCTCCATGGCACAATGGAACACTACTGTCTGGAGCTGGAAAGATGACAACAACCACAGACTTACTTACACAACACTCTGTCTCCAGATCTCCAACTTTGTTCTTAATTCCTCTTGTAACATAATTGTTTTTATGACCTTCACTGGGGATTCAAGAAATGAAAACTCATTACAAACACCATTTACCTCTTGAAATGAACATTAATGAATGGATATAATCAGCTTTTTCTTTTTTTTGCATTCACCCTTTCAAGGCTATATCTGCACTTGTTGATGTCCAACATATCTGATTTCAGCAAACGTCTAAATTTGTTGTCTTTTACAACATGCTTGTTAAGTAAGGGGCAGTAGGTTTACCCCCCCCCCCCCCCCCCCCCCCCGACCAATGGGGCTCTGGAGCCTGCCTGGTAAAATGATCAACAGTTAGTGTATTAATAACTGTTACTGAAGCTATGTGAACTACGGAAGGGTTGAAACATTGCCGCACTCTGGGCAAACCTACAGATGCTCCATCTCCATCTGCAAATGTCACAAAGTGTCAGTTGGATTCATCAGGCTAAGATCCACACACATATCACTCTCCCCTCTTCTATTAGTTTGCATCAAAGGCCCTGAATCAATGCACACCAACATCTTCACAGAGATGCTCATGACCAAATGGGTTTTGCAGCAACACCTACACCAAAAACTAGTTACTCCTTATACATGCATGGTTAAGTTAAAGTGTTAATATAATGTTCCTCTGTTATGAGCCCAGATATCAAATGGGTGACAGAACTGTACTGGAAGCCACAGTGAACAGAAATAAAGGTAGAAACAAAACAAAACAGAGAAGGGAGCTGGTGAGCAAAGTTAAAAAAAATGGGGAGGACTTGGGGTGAGCTGGTTGAGAGCCTCTGATCTATTAGGTGGGGGGGGGGGGGGGGGGGGGGGGGGGGGGGGGGGGGGGGGGGGGGGGGGGGGGGGGAGAGGCAGGGGGAGAGGAGAATATAAAGCAGAAGCATAAGAAGACAGAACTGTAGTGTCAGAAAAACTTTTCATCAATAAACTGTTGTGCCATTGTATGTCAATGGGCGCTCACAGACTAGACATAGACAATTTGGGGGAAAAAAACAATACATTTTGAACATTTTAATGGAAAATTTAGAGACATAATAAAAGCAGTCATAAAGACACACTAGTCTTCATCTGCATGTATCCCTTGTGAAGCACATGCCCTCAACGTACACTCACTTGTCTTATCTTTTGTCATTTTGTGCACTTGCCTGATGTCCTGAGCCCCTTATTCACCTCTCTTCTTCATGTGATTCTGGTCTTCCTTTACTTCTTTGGCATCTTAGAAGCAATGGCATCTTAGTTCTATATTAAAGGTTTTCTCAACGTGTACCCTATCCAGTGCTAGTGATCCTCACCCTGATATTTGGATTAAACAAACACTAAAACTTTACAGAGGAAAACAAAACATTCACATTCAACAAACCACTGTCTAGTCATATTCTGGTATAGCTTCTCCACTCTTTGGTCATATTCAGAATATCTGGCAACTGTTTCCTCAGCACATTTTCCAGCAACCTCAAGGATGACCTCTTTCTTTTGCAGATCTCTTACTCGCTGACGAGCACTCTGGTAAGCCAGTTCTGGAAAATATTTCAACAAAAGACAGTGAATCACACTTACCGAGGCTATGTGAACCATGGTAAGGAAATGAAGAACATGGCTAGATACATAAAGGATGTGAAACATACTTACTGAGGCTGTATGAACCATGGTAGGAAAATGGTCAGACAAAAAAAACCACTTACTGAGGCTGTATGAACCATGGTAGGAAAATGGTCAGACAAAAAAAACCACTTACTGAGGCTGTATGAACCATGGTAGGAAAATGGCCAGACAAAAAAAACCGTTTACTGAGGCCATGTGAACCATGGTAGGAAAGTGGCCAGATAAAAACAGCTTACTGAGGCCGTGTGAACCATGGTAGGGAAGTTGGCAGATAAAAACAGCTTACTGAGGCCATGTGAACCATGGTAGGGAAGTTGGCAGATAAAAACAGCTTACTGAGGCCGTGTGAACCATGGTAGGGAAGTTGGCAGATAAAAACAGCTTACTGAGGCCATGTGAACCATGGTAGGGAAGTGGGCAGATAAAAACAGCTTACTGAGGCCATGTGACCCTGGTAGGAAAGTGGGCAGATAAAAACAGCTTACTGAGGCCATGTGAACCATGGTGAAGTGGCTAGATAAAAAATGAAGGCATAACATAATATCTCTTAAATAAAGTTTTTGCAAAAATGTAAGGGTTCCTTTTCATGCCAGGCAGTGTACTGGGCACACAATGATAGTCCCATACTTCTAGATCAATTAGGACTCAGCGAATCATCTGGTTAATACCACATCTGACGCTTTTACCTCCCAGAAAATTTTCTCATACAAGTTTCAGGCTAGGTAACAAATAAATAAGCAACTCTATTAAACAGCTGAAGGTAGATAGGCGTGGAGTGTCATGACTGCCAATGTCCGCTCCTGACCACGTAACTAAAGATAATGATGAAGATGATGATGATGGAGACAAACATTGTAAATTAAAACATACAAATAGCTTCAAGCTGATGTGAAAAACATACACAATTTCAAGGCTTGGGAGTAGCCACCATGACTCTGACAAAAGCACCCACCAGTTTTCCTCTCTCTTACTGTGAGATACAGAATCCTTGTGTGGGTTATGTGGCTCCATGTTTAGGAGAACAAGAATAGTATAACTGCCTTTAGAACCAGCATGTCGTAAGAGCTGACTAAATAGGGGTTTCTTTTGAAGTCAGGACTCCATTTACACCAGTAGCACATTAAGTGAAGGACCATGTTTACACCAGTAGCACATCAAGTGAAGGACCATGTTTACACCAGTAGCACATCAAGTAAAGGACCCTGTTTACACCAGTAGAACATCAAGTAAAGGACCCTGTTTACACCAGTAGAACATCAAGTAAAGGACCCTGTTTACACCAGTAGCACATCAAGTAAAGGACCATGTTTACACCAGTAGCACATCAAGTAAAGGACCCTGTTTACACCAGTAGCACATCAAGTAAAGGACCATGTTTACACCAGTAGCACATCAAGTAAAGGACCCTGTTTACACCAGTAGCACATCAAGTAAAGGACCCTGTTTACACCAGTAGCACATCAAGTAAAGGACCCTGTTTACACCAGTAGCACATCAAGTGAAGGACCATGTTTACACCAGTAGCACATCAAGTGAAGGACCATGTTTACACCAGTAGCACATCAAGTAAAGGACCCTGTTTACACCAGTAACACATCAAGTAAAGGACCCTGTTTACACCAGTAGAACATCAAGTAAAGGACCCTGTTTACACCAGTAGCACATCAAGTAAAGAACTCAGTTTACACCAGTAGCACATCAAATAAAGGACCCTGTTTACACCAGTAGCACATCAAGTAAAGCACTCTGTTTACACCAGTAGCACATCAAGTAAAGGACTCTGTTTACACCAGTAGCACAAGTAAAGGACTCTGTTTACGCCAGTAGCACAACAAGTAAAGGACTCTGTTTACACCAGTAGCACATCAAGTAAAGGACCCTGTTTACACCAGTAGCACATCAAGTAAAGGACCCTGTTTACACCTGTAGCACATCAAATAAAGGACACTGTTCACCTGTAGCACATCAAATAAAGGACCCCCTTTACACCAGTAGCACAAATAAAGGACCCTGTACACCAGTAGCACATCAAATAAAGGACCCTGTACACAAGTAGCACATCAAATAAAGGACCCTGTACACCAATAGCACATCAAGTAAAGGACCCTGTACACCTGTAGCACATCAAATAAAGGACCCTGTACACCTGTAGCACATCAAATAAAGGACCCTGTACACCTGTAGCACATCAAATAAAGGACCCTGTTTACACCAGTAGCACATCAAATAAAGGACCCTGTACACCAGTAGCACAAATAAAGGACCCTGTACACCAGTAGCACATCAAATAAAGGACCATGTTTACACCAGTAGCACAAATAAAGGACCCTGTACACCAGTAGCACATCAAATAAAGGACCCTGTTTACACCAGTAGCACAAATAAAGGACCCTGTACACCTGTAGCACATCAAATAAAGGACCCTGTTTACACCAGTAGCAAAAGTAAAGGACCCCATATACACAAGTGCCATAGCAGGCACATGATGATAAACTCTTACATGCTAGATGCTAATATTTATATTGATCAACTGGCACTTGATGAGTGACGTAGTCAATATCACAAGGGCTAAAAACTGGGTGAGGAGTATTGTCTCGATTTTTTCACCGGGGTATTCCGGTGTGTTGGGAAATGAACAGACTGGCTGGCTCTGCACAACTTGGTGGAATACTGATGCATAATAAGGCAGACGTGGTTAGTGCCTTGTGGGAGAGCGTGTACAGTTCGGAGGAACAGATGGATCGCCAGTCTGGTGAGATTGATGCAGCGGGGAGTGACGAGAGGTTCTGGCAGCTGCTCGAGGCTCAGAGGAAAGGCAAGACGGACATTTAATCAGAATGCTACTGGCACCATTAGTATTGGAACTCTTCGCTGGCTGCTGAAGATGGGGACGGAGCGCTTATGAGAGTGCCCCGAGTGCTGTGATGTCGGTTCTCAAGGGCTTACAGACTTCAACTAACTACAATGTCTATGAGAAAATCACCTACCTGCATCCATCACTTCATGTTTCAGATGATTCATCTCTTTATGCAGCTGATGAACATCTGACCGGCAGCTGGTCAACTCTCTCACCAGCTCAGCCTTGGCTTGTTGCAGCGCATTCTGCTCCGACGTCTCTTGTGATGTTTGCTGAGTTTTTACAGACTTCTGCAAACCCAGTCTCTTATATCTTGCCAGTATTAAGGAATTGTTTTATTACCTGATCACAGTCAATATGTTAACAAGTGTCACACCCCCTTTCTCCTTTATAAGGAGAAAGAAGAACAAACCCAGTGCCCCATAAAAAGCACATCGTTGAAGGCGACTAATCAGTGCTGCCATATGATGTGCTGGGCTAAAAGGCATAGATATCACAGCCTAGCTGTAAGCCCCAACACAATGTGCCAGCTAAATGGCGAACGCAGAAGATGATTAATTAATAGAGCAAAGGCTACCAACAAATCAAAGTCAAAACTTTGAGAGCATTCATCTTCTCGAGAGAAACATTCTGATATTAGTTGTGGACTACCTTGCAGTCATTAGAGGAAAAGCTTTTTTTGAACTGAACAACAAAAGTAAGATTTTCAGAATACAATGGACCAAGGAAAGAAAAAAAAAGAAATACTGACATCCTAAAAGGACTGAACATCACGAAAGTTAAATGGCATCTAATCTCAGAATCTGATACATTTCGGCCACACTAACGCCACGGCAGATTGGAAAGAATAACAGCAGAAGGCAAGGCCCCAGGAAACAGACAGCATGAAGATGGGTACACTGAGTGATACCTTGGGCGAGCCGGTAGAGCTGATGAGAGACCAAGTTTATTTCAGGCCGACTGAGATGACAGCGACGTTCTGCAAAGGACCTGTTACACAATGAGGCCATTAATAAATTCACGCCAAGCCTCTGTGCATTTTCACAACTAGCTGGAGTTAGCATCTAACATCTTCTAATTGGCTGAGGTAGCTAGCCTCATACCAACCCTCCCTAAATGCCCCTTATGACACTCATAATGAGTTCCAGTGCTACTATATGTATTTACCTAAAGGACCCTGGAAACAAACAAGCATAATCTGCATATGCTATAAATATTATTTTCTAAAAGTAAAAACAGTGCAGGCAAAGAAGGGAGAACAGACAAACTCAGAACACAAGTTAGTAGTGTATCCTTTACAGGATGTTGCAGAACCAGCCCCAGACTTGATTGGCTGTTGTGGTTTTTCTAGGCAATTTTACGTTCAGTAGTTTGTCATTGCTTCTGAAGGGTCATCTCTAGCTGACAAGACAAATTGTCCGCAGCAGGGATCAAAACCGGCATTACGAAGCGTGTTTCAGAATACAACAGGCAACAAAAGCTTCCATTATCATGGGCAATTTCCACTTTGCCATTAAGAGTTGTGGGGAGGAATAGTTTGCGATTCATCGCTGAATGGGTAGAAGTGGCTTCTGTCCTGTGATGATGTATAATTTCTTAAACATCATCAGTCCATCTTATCCTTGGGTGCCCTAATGCTTTTACATCATATCTTGCTTTCATAGCACTAGGAAATCTTCATTGTCATCTGAAAGAAATATAACAAGCACAGAGCAAATGGAAAGACCACGCAAAAGACAGAATGAAGGGTATCAGAAAAAACACACACACAAACAGAGCTATCCAACTGGTGGCCTGCGGAGGCCCATCAAGTGTCTCGTAGATCACTGTCAGTTGTATTACTGATCTCTCTGTGCTGGGACTTAGGGCTCTGACCCATTATGATTCATGTTTTCAAAATTATGGTGGACGAATAAACTTAGTTGAATAGAAGATCCTTTAAACACTTCAGTGAGATAACTGGAGGAACAGAAGAAGAAGGAGGAAATCCACGATCAAAGGGCTAGAAAGTCAGTTTGCTGTCCAGTGAGCATCTCTGCCGTCTCCCAATTTGTGTGTGATGCCTTTTTTAAAAAAACAAAACTCCTACAAAACTATGTGACTTGCACTTTATAAATGCATCAATAACATCATGTAATGTTTAGAAAACAAAAAGATACAATTCAATGTTGCCCTTGATCTCCCTTACAGATCTGAAAAGAAACATACACATAAAAATTAAGTGAAATAACAATATTTCATTATGACTATACAAACCACACTAGAGCAAAAAGTTGAGAGTAAGACAGCAATAGGTAGATAGCAATACAAGTGGGAAGATAAGATCAAAAGACTGATGAGCAGCAGTCTCAGAGAGTGTACAACCAAATCAAGAGACACAGACAGAGAATGTTGCAGATTCACTGCACCAAACCTTCATCATGGAGATGGCACCTGACTGAATGGCAGATGAAAACCAAAACATATTTTTAGCACACTCTATAGCTATACTGCTGAAATTACCCAGAAACGGTTAATCAGCAGTTTTTCTTCCTTTCATTCTATCTTCCAGTGGTTTTCAGATAAGAAGGCCTTCTATGAAGGTTGTGGTGTGATTCATGTCTTTCCTTAAAAAATTATTCCCGCCAATTCCCCCTACGTGATGTGATTATCTATACAGATGGCTCTGTGTTGTGGGCAGAAAAAGTGGGGATTCACAGCAAAAGTAAATGGACATCACTTAGTCCAACAAAACCTGGCAAATGATAGTACAACATCTAATTTGAGAATGGAGGTAGAGGCAGTCACTGCATCCTTCTGCTGGCTTGAACACTAGCATTACACACTTGTCATAATCATAAGTGACTCACGGAACATGCTGAGAAAGGTGGAGACAGGTATGCTCAATGCAGAGTGGCAAGCATCGCTTCAGAGGTCCCAGGCACTTAGCATCCTTTAGATATTTTCTCCAGGTGATGCCAGTGTTTGGGGAACGAACTGGCAGATAGACTGACTGGTTCTGTTAGATGTTGTAAGGGTCCTTTCGAGTGATCATTGCAGAGGCAGAAAGAGATCATCACTGTCTGAGGAAAATGGTGCTGCAAGACGTGACCAGGAGATCTGGCCAACAATCAACGGATATACAACCAGACTGTTCCTGCTACCACTGGAATTAGAACTCTACACTTGCTGCTGAAGATGGGGACGGACTGCAGCTTTAATTAAAGCCACCTATGATGTACTCATATTAATCATTAGAATATTTGTTTTTAGACATAACTTCAAAACATGATTTTTTTTCCCTTCTTCGTTACTATTATCTGCTGTAACTTAGTTGCTAGCACTCGTGCCCCCAGCCGAGCTGTCTTAGGTTTAAATCCAACCGGAGATGGCAATTAAAAACTTAGCCTAAAATGGGTATCAGCACATGCTGTGGGGAACAAAGTGTTGACTGGTTTTCAAAATCCCTGGTTAACACTTTATACATAATACACATTTAGGTGTCAAAAGAGGATTCTTTACTTACTCACAATATGCAATATAATTTGTACATATTTTATATGCAAATATAAAGACACTGACAAAGAATAAATTGGTTCGGCCATCTAGTGAGAATGCGGCCAGATTAAACTAAAGTGATTTTTTTTTTACAGCAGAATATCTGGGAGGAAGGTGAGGTGAAGATCAAGAGAGAAAGATAAATGATGTAGCTGAAATCTGCAAAAAGACGAACAAAACCACCACCCAAAAAGCACAAGACAAATACAGAGAACCATGACACTGCGTTACCACCTGAGTTTAGTGAAATGACAAAAGAAGAAGAATATCAAGACAACCTATATGAAAATAATTCTCAATAGGCAAATAAAACGACTCACTCAAAATGCACTCAGACACTCAATATTTAAACACAGTATATCAAGTATCTAACTGCCACAAACATTTAGGCCAACTTACTGCTTGGATTTCACATGCTTCAGTACGTATCTCCAAACATCATCCAGAGGTTTCTTGCATAATCTAAACATACAAAGGATAAATTCGTCAGTACTTTCACTGAATGGTAGCAAATAATATTGCATTTCCTTTTCAGACCCCCCTGTGTGTGTGTATGTGGATCCCAAGGCCTCATTCTAAGGGAAGGGATGGGGGAAGAAGGATAGACCAACCGAACAGCATGTCATAAAATGTGAATAATTAAGTTATGGGTCACTCATTGAAGTTTGAGTGCATTTGCATGAGAGGCGAGAAAGAAGTCTGCAAACATGCAAACAAAACAAGACAGACCTATAAGACAGATGCGCACACAAACTCAAGTTCGAACAAGAAAACAAACTTTATTTTTGGATTACCAATTGGCCATGAAGTCTCGTCTTACATTCGGCCCTTTCAAGCACTCGTCTTTTAGACCAAAACTGCATGTTATCTATAATGCATGTTATATTATATTAAAATATATATAATAAAATAATGCATACATTCATCATGTATCATAAACAGTCAATATACACGTATACATACACTCTTATATAATCCCACACATACATAAATACCGTACATACACAATAAATAATTTATAGTCACCCATAAAAAACACATACATACACTTACACCGATACATACACCTATATATACACACAATCACACATTCTCATATGCCGTTACATATCCATATGCATGTACACACACAAATATCCAGACATATATAAAATGCCTCACACATGCATCAAAACTCCCTTCTACAAAAACAAGTCCAAAATCCAGAAGTGGATAAATAACCAGAACTTTCCGTCTACAGCCAGGGAATGCTAACAAGAACCCAGAATATTTACAAAGGTTTTATTTGCGTTGACATACCTTAGTTAGTTAGTTAGTTGGGTTATCCTCATTGCACTCCGGACATGTCCATAAGTGCTCAGATCCTCCCCTCAGTATGAACCCCAACGTCCGATGGCTAATAGTACCAGTTCTATGTTGATTAACAAGTCTTCTGGCGTGTCTGGTGTGCGACTCGTTTTTTGCTGTGCCGATCTTAATTCCCAAGTCTGCCATTCTGGCGAGTGATGTGGATTCACTGCCACCAAAGTCCTCTATCCTTCCCATTTCTCTGAGGGCGTTGATAATATCAGCATGATCCATAGGCTGACCGTCGGTAGTGATAGCGGATCCAGCCAACCTGTCACCTCTTTCATTTCCATCGACGCCTGCGTGTCCCGGAACAAAAATAAAGGTGACTCCACGCACAGTGGACTTCTGTAATGATTCAAGCCATTGTCTTCGCACTGAACCTGCCTGAACCCTCCGGATCATACTCATTGAATCACTGAGTATACATACACGGGTGTATTTTTGTGTTTCAAGCCAGGCAAACGCTTGCGTCACTGCCATCACCTCCATCGTCATGCTGCTGGTTGTCATGGAGAAGGCGCCGTTGGCTTCTTTGACTGTTCTGCCCGCTGAGAGTGCTGTAAATGCCCATGCGCTTCTTCTTTGGCGTATAACGTATCCGTCTGTATAGATTATTGCATCTGCTTCGTCTGAATTTTCACCAATGAGAGCGTTGACCTCTGCATTAACAGCAACAGGATTCTCTTCTCTACATCGCCTGTTGAGTGTGACAATGCAGGAAAATGTACAAATAAACGCCTGAGGCACAGGTATCCATTCTGCACCAGGTATGATGTCGGTTAGGCTGCATATTTGCCTAATAACATCTTCTGCCCGACCTAGCCGCAATTTCCCCCTCTTCAGTCTGTCGCCCTTTTCACTAAAAAGCGCTTGATGCAGTGGGTGTTTCTTATCAGCACATATTTTGAGATATGCCCGAGCCCTCCACATCCTGATCCTTTGGTTCATTGTTGGAAAGTCAAGTAGATACCTCATTGCTCCACAGGATGTGTCTCTTGTACATCCCAAAATAATGCGCATGGCTTCATTTTGCACCTTTTCGAGTCGTTTAATCTTGGTAGCACTGACAGTGAGGATGGCCAGAGCATATTCAATGGGGGAAAGGACCAGACCGTAGAATAGAAGTATTAGTAGTCTTTGCTCAATATTGGAAGCAGCCATAATCCTCATTGCAGATAGACCTTTGCGTGCTTTTGTTATCACATGGTCAACGTGTTCCCTGAATGACAAGCTGAGATCGAACCTCACCCCGAGAAACGTCATAACGTTGGTTCTGATCATTACATTATCACGCATTTTCACTTCTGGTAAGTCCGACTTGACAATGTGATCGTTCAAAGAGAACCATGACACTGATGCCTTCGAAGGATTGACATAGGCATTGGAACCATCACACCAGGCGGCAATTCGATCGAGTTCTTTGTGCATAGTGCTGGCGATCTCCTGTCTATCACGCCCTCGTCGATAATTCAAAATGTCATCAGCAAATGACAAAGTCCTTCCCTTTCCATTCAACTGCTGCTCAGTGATCATCACCGTATAAACGTTGAATAAGACTGGTGATAGCGGTGATCCCTGTGGCAAGCCTGGACATATCGTTTGCGGTTCTGAGGACCACATCTTAGTACAATCTTTCTCTGGAACAGAACCGCAGCAATTCAGCGGATCAGAATAGGATTAACTTCTAGTTTAAGCAGTAATTGCATTAAATAATCATATGTACTTTATTGTAGGCATCTTCTAAGTCCAACACTGCCGCACATGTCTCTTCTTTAATCTGAAATCCCTCGAAAACTGCAGCATTGAACCATGTTGACATACCTGTTTATAGTCAATATTATGGCTGAGCAGTTTCAACATCGCGCTCTCAGGCAGGAGACCCGGTGTTAGCCCCGAGTAAGGTGATGGGAGTTTTTGTGTGTCAGGGGCAAATTAAACATCCTAACCTGCAGTCTGTGGCAACAGTCCTAGTCAGGCGGCAATAAATCCTCACTCAAGCCCCCCTTCCCCCTGTCTACACCGCCCTGAAAAGTGGTAAAAAACAGACAGTGGTGACAGATTCTTTTTTTAAACTGAAATAAATCAGGGCACTTACTGTTCAAAGTCTTTCTCTGTGGGCAAAGGAATGAAATCACTGGAACTGTAAGCAACATTCTGAAATTTCATCTCCTGTGTAGCCCATGCTTTCAGTAACTGAGGAAGTCCCTCCATGATGACTCTGCTGCCCCAGTTAGTATTGTTTTATGACTGTCTAAATAACAAATTGTAAATATATTAACTCTTTAAGTACCAAACAGCAGATCATAAATTTCTCTGCCATGAACATGTTATTTGCTTGCTATACCTTTCATAAATGCTACATTAGCTCTTTGTACCTGATTATTAATTTAACTACTTCTGTCCTATAGTTTCTCAACTGAACTCAATCAGACCAAAGTATTTATTGTTTTAAAGTTCAAATATTTACAGAAGAATGGGTGAAAGTAACAAGAACATGGGATTGAAAGAGTTAAGTATCCCTGAAATTTAGCTGAACATTACAAAGTAACGATAATCACCACGCAATTAAACAAAGTGTGAGAACGTGTGTCACAAGTAAAGAAACCCATTTGCCAGAACTATTCAACTGGCAGACCACGGGCCAGATTTTGTCCGCGGAAGCCTAGCAAGTGACCCACATTTCCCTGCCAGTTGTATTGTATTAATTATCTTTCTATGCTGGAGCCTTGGCGACTAGACCGTGACAATCCACATATTTAATATTCTGGTCTCTTAGTAAACGCAGATAAATAGCTCTGCCATATACCAAGTTGGATATTAGAATAACTAACCAGGTTTCTATACCATTGTTAGGCTAAACCACCAGTCATATCGCCACTGCTTGGTACACGTGAAAAGTATCTGATCACACATGGCACTGAAAAAAGGACCCAAAAACTAAATTTAAAAAAGTATTAGTCGTCCATCACAAATCATGAAGACCACTTAGAATCCACAAGTAATGATCAAGGATTGTAAGTATTAGAATTTTGAACATGGGTCCACCCTGAGCCACAAACATTCTTAAGTGCTGCGGACAACAGATAGAAGTGACAGTAGAGGCCCGATTTTTCATACTGTTTTATCTAGTCTGCCTCTGTTTTTCTGCTGGTGCAAATTGCTGCCTGGTAGGCTGATGCATCAAGTGTCTAAAAGAATGAATGAATGAAGTGACATCAATGCATTTGGGGCATTCTCCTACGAGCTGTGTATCCTTCATCAGTAGCAAATGAACAGTGCTAATACCAGTTGCAATCTGATTAAAAATCCGTCTATGTTCCCCATAGCGTTGAATATCTTCCAGAGCCTCTATCTCCTCTCCTCCCTGGTTGAATAGATTTTCAATGCAAGCATTATGATTCTCTGTATGTTCTAATGCACTATCCATCTGATCTGAGTCATGCTTCACTACGTCTGCTTTAACTTTATCATAGAGGAACTGCTTCTATTTCACTATTTTAGCATTAGCGACACACAGCTAGAAATAAGCAATCTTGGATTTCTTTTTTTTGTCTTCTTCTGCTGACTTTTATAATTGCTGTATTATTTCAGCATTTTGGGGGGGGGGTTGTTATGCTTGCTCCACCTCTGAAGTCCACCACCATGGCTAAAAAAATCTACTCCTAGTGACTCCTGACAATGCTCTCTTTCTAAGTTGCCAATAAGCGACTTTATCTTGTCAACTTCAAAGTCAAAGACTTCAGCATCTTCCTTAGCATCGGAGTCATTGGCGCTCCTTTAAATCATTCCCCAAAATGGCGGCATGCCACATTCTGGCATAAAATATCCAAAAATATCCAAACAACGGTGTTCGCATATATCTAAAATACGGACTTTCTGTCAAGCAACAAATCGCGGCAAAACTAGGTTTACTTGACAATCAATATCAACATTTGCACACGGTACTAGTAAGTAAGTAAAGTAAAGGACCCTTTCCACGACTTTAGGCGTATAGGGCATATAGGGCTAGACCTATACTTTTATAGACCAACGGCACAAGATGGGTGATGTGGTCAGCATCACACCGGCCGCCTCTACTTCCCGGGATTGCACCCGGTACCCACTCAAGGCTGTGTCGACCTGGGAGCCAAGGTCATTTTTGAAGAAAAGTCCGTCTCCGTCAGGGAGCGAACCCACGACCTTCCGATCCGCGGCGCGCGTCTAGCCGCTCTGCCACGGCGACTCCCACGGTACTAGTAGCAGACGATAAATACATGACCGTTGACAACAATTTCGAGCGTTTCTGCAGACGATATTAGCGACCGTTGACCAATTTCGAGACATTACAGACGATGAAAGCCGATTAGCAATACTGTGTTCTTCCGATTGGAGGATTTAGCAGCGGTAGATGTCAGACTTGTTGGCATGTGCCAAACGCAATTAAACTTATCGCCAAGCGTATCCCCTGCGCCGCTACGCGCGGCGCGGATGGGGGCTAAACTAGGTGCCTGGGACTCATGACTACAGTATTTGGAGAAAGTTGCAGGAAATGCGGTAGCTGCCGCTCATGAGTCCCAACCATCTAGTTTAGCCCCCATCCGCGCTGCGCGTAGCGGCGCGGGGGATACGCTCGGCAGTGAGGCACACTCGCAGAAGCAGGCTGGCAAGTAACGTATTGGCGAGACCCTGTCAGAGCATTTGTTTCGTTATCCGGAGTCGGCACATATATTTTTAATAGAACTGACCCGCATTCGGATATTTTATGACCAGAAAGTGGCCAATTTAGCTCTTTCGAACGCTATCATATTAAAGCAGCCATCTTGGGAAATGATTCAAAGGAGAACCGAGTCATTTTGCCCAGTTAGACCATAGGACAAGCTGCGATTTCGAACCGATTCTGTGTTCTTTTAATTACAAAATAATAATTTACTTAAATTAAACTGCCCACTTATTAACTTTATAAAGTAACTAGCTGTACCCGGCCACGCGTTGCTGTGGCATAGTTTGGCTTAATAAAAATGAAAGAAAATAGAAATCGCACGTGTCTAATACAATCATTGTCTGCTCAGATATAGAGATAGTCTTTGATTCCCCCACCCCCCCCCCCCCCCCCCACCACCACAACTAAATCCACCTACTACTCTCTCCCTCATCAAAGGTTTTAGGAAAAGAAAGATAATGGAAATCGCACGTGTCTAATATGGTTAATGTCGCAATCATTTTCTGCACAGATATAGAGATAGTCTGGTTTTCCAACTTTAGAACACGCACCTTATAATTGTGTCTTTATATTATTGGTCGTTTGATTGGTTTTATTAGCACAGTAACAAAAATGGTTATTTGGTTATCACATGCTAAAGCTGTTTGTATTTTTATAGGGGACGGAAGTAAAGCTACAACTGTACTTGTGAATAACAAAGTAAGTCGTAAAAAATAGAAAAGCGGAGGTAGCGTTAGTAAAATATAAACAAATTAGGTAATGAGAACTTGAAAATCACGTGTAAAGCTCTTTAGGTTCTCTTAAATTTAAGTCATTACCCCCTCCCCTCTTCCACCGACTACTGTTCTCTCCCTCTCCGAAGGATTTGAAAATCATTACCTGGCGATATTTTGTTGTTGCTGTAACTGACATTGACATCCCTGTCCATCCGGACTAAAATGGGGAGCAGGAATTGTAATAGGTAGTGAATGGGGCTAGTGTAATATTTACAACATCATCATTCAAGTACCAGTACAACTACTACCACAACCACCACCATAGTAGCTAAAATAATGTCACTGCTATCTGTGTTACCATCGGAGTAGACAGAGAGTCGTGAGCCAGAAGATTTGGTTCCGCATGGCTAGTGCTGTCGCCACAGACTGGTCAGGTTAGGATGTATAATTTCACTTGCCGACAGAAGAACGCCATAACCTTACCGGCGGTCTTCACATGAGGGAACCCAGTGTTCTAACCATTCGACCAAGCAGCCACTTAATCGGAGCACCGAAAATAGAACTAAACTATTAGAGAAGTGTGTCCCTACTACTGTGTCCCGATTAAACACAACTCAAAACAGCAGGCAATTGTTTTTATGGTGTAACAGCACAACCACAACTATTACTGCTGCTGCTACTTTAAGTGGGTAAAGCAGTTACTGTGACTTAAAGCTCTCTCAGTTAATAGTTTGCCCCCCCCCCCCCCCCCCCCACCACCCCTAAATTCACTGACAACTCTTTCCCTCATTGAAGTAGTTGGGTGAAAAAAACACTTGAAAAGCAAATGAACACAGGAAGAAAACACCATAATTAGGAAATGAACGCTATGGTAAACAGCACAGCTTAAAATTCCAACGCAGATGAAATAACTAAATGTAAATGAAAATAAATGGAAAGCTATGAAATTTCAGCGTAACCATGCAATCGGAAAGTTAAAAAATGCAATCATAAGTATGCGAAATGGTCAAATTTAATTATCAAATGGTTTACCCATTTACTTGTCTTTTTTTTTTTTAAGTATTAAGGGCAACATTGCTAGTGCTGTCACCACGACAGAGCAGATGAGGATATTATTTTAGTCCGGGGTAAAACAAAAAAAATTAACTACTGTGGATTTGAAACCTGGTCTCCCGCACGGGAACCCAGTGTTCTAACCATTCGACCAAGCAGCCACTTAATCGGAGCACCGAAAATAGAACTAAACTATTAGAGAAGTGTGTCCCTACTACTGTGTCCCGATTAAACACAACTCAAAACAGCAGGCAATTGTTTTCTCGTAGACAGATACTCCAGATATATTAATGAAATGGCACAACAATAGAAATCGCACGTGTCTAACACGGTTAAAAAAACCAGAAAATAGAAATCGTGTTTAATATGGTTATTGTGGCAAATATAGAGGTAGTCTTGTTTGCTGTACCACGACCTACTCTATGTATTAGAGAAGGCGTTGGCTGCACGTAACTCGCCGACGAATAGTGGAAGCCTTGCGTTCTGACTACGGTACATCGGCAATTAATAACGTGGCTATAATTGGAAATCACAAAATTATAAATATTAGTTTAGAATATTATGGCATAAATTGTCGCAAACTATCTCTAACAATGACAGGTTGAATTTCAAACCATGATGGTTCAACATCCGGTATCAAAACAAACATATCCTAAAAATTTCAGCTAAATCGGTTCAGTAGTTTCCGAGTCTATACTATAGACTCGGAAACTACTGAACCGATTTAGCTGAAATAGACTATA